TTTCAGCCCCATCATGAGCAGGTTTGTACCGAATTGTGTCGGTTACCTTAGGTGTGTGTGGCTGGAGGTGCTGTAAGGGATGTGTGTGATGCACAAGCCATAACCGTGTTTCACCGAGTAGTTTCAAGGGGTGAAATAGGCTTGTTTCACTTCCGCGTGTACATACTTGTGTAATCTCAATCCTGTGACCTCTGGCTGATTGTGTATCTCTGAGAAGTCCTTCTTAGCCCCATTTCCCACAACAGGTTTTTCTTAAAGCAAATACCTTGTACCCTATATTTGCAGTCTTTCCCTTGTTTTAGTCCCAGTTTATGTAATTAAAATACCCTGCCATGTCTCTTGAGCAAAATATGAAACTGTCAAATGGCCCTTTTAATATAGCACTGCATATTTTCAGATTGCTTTGTGTAGTTATGTTGGAGCACATGCAGAGAAAAATAAAAACCTTCCTCACCTAAGCTGTTGTTATGTAAGCAGCTTTTTATTAAATGTGTAAATTAGTAGACGGTGTTCAATAAAACAGACTGTATCACCAGAGAATGTTCTGTTCCTCTTGATAATACGTAGCATTTTTAAAGAGGATTTTGTGGTCAGAAAATGTGCAATTTCTCCTTATAAGATGCAATTTTTACCACACTCTATTAGTATATTTATTATTAGTATAACAGAGAAAAGTTGAATCAAATAGTGTTCTGAAGTATATCATTATGTGAAAGATGAATTCTAATTTATTGTAGGGTCACTTAAAATTTCTGCTATTGATGTTTACAGTTTGTTTTTAAGGAATAGTGACGTGTTACTGCACAAAACTGTCATTTCTCCCTTTTTCCTTGGTGAACTGTCAAGAGTTTTTCAACTAAGGTTTTCATCTTTTTTTGACATTGCTGTCTATATAACGAAAGTTGTAGTGGAAGTTGATATAAAATTAGAGTAGGCACCCATTCGGTTTCTACTGTAGGTTTACCTTGTGGGTTATGATTGCTATTTCCAAAAATTAGATGCTAGGGTTTGGTGGTGTTAAGCTGGTCAGGCTGTTTCCTGCTTCATGTGCAGCTGTGACCAGTGAACCCCATCTGACCTAGCCGATGTGAACCTTTTGGCACTGCAGGGTCCTGCATGGTTTACGTTCCGCACAACCTTATGTAAGATGAAATTAATGGGAGTGGGAGCTCCAATACAGTCTTACACAGTGTGCGTTTCCCAGCTGTCATTGACATCACCGTTGTTATTATCACCGTACTGTAATATACATTTACATGAGTACAATATCAATACAGTACTTTCACATAAACCAGTACTCCTCCCATTTTCAACAGCTTTGCCAATTTGTGTTCTGCACATTTGCAGATCTTCAACCGGAGTGCATCGGTCTCTGTAATAAAGGTGTAACTTGGTTAACAAAGGGTTAACGTGTATATAGCATTGTATAATGGGTTATGCCTTAGTTATTCAGTTTCCCTCAGTAAAGCTTACGATGTGTGCTGTGCGCAGACATTAGTACAGATAAGTGGAAGCTTAACTTCTGAGTGAGCTACACTGACTGAGCTGGTAAACACGTGAATAGTATCTGAATCCTTTTTTTTTAAATTTAAACAAAAAACAACTGACTAGATATTACAAGGAACCTTGATGTAATCGTTCCTATTTGAGGACATATTTAGGCTGGAGGGGTGGCAGTGGAATTTGGCGGGGTCACTCCTTCTCCGAGTTAGCATTTTCCAAAAGCCAAACCAAGTTTTTACTTGGAATAGCGAAAGTGGGGGGGCGGGGATGCGTACGAAGTGGAGAGGGAATTAAATTTATTCAGGAGAGTCCCTATATGGCATTTGGGCCCTTCGAGTTCGTTTGGTAGCCGCGAAATGAGTCGAGGACCTCATCCAAACAGAGCCGTGGCAGCTTTCAACCTGCTTCTTGAATGACTCGGTTTTAAATGCACTTCCCCTTAGTTTCAGCTTGTGTCCTCTTCTTCGTGGTTCACTGATGCTGCCTACAATTTCTGCTGGCAAATGGCATTTGTCAATGCCTTTGAGGCTTTTAAATGCATGGATCGGGTCCCATCTTGGTCTTCTCTGCTCAAGACTGAATAGGCTCAGTTTCTTCAGTTCAGTTTCTTGTCATATGCACGAGTGCGATGAGATGCTTATAAAAATATTCTTGATCCAATGTCCACATGCACTTGGTGGTCCTAATTCATTGCTGAAAAGACAGATGATACAAAAAGCCCACAACACGAAACGGACAAAGACGTACAGATGAGAAGCAACATGCAGCACGTCGCCCCTTTCCGACGCCATGTTGAAGTGGATCAACAGGCCATCGGTGCAGGACGTGTCCTTTAAACCTGGGCACGTATCTCGTCGCAACTCTCTGGACAGATTCCATAAGCAGCAGTGTCTTTTTCTACTGCGTGGTGAGCAGAATTAAACATAGCATTCTATCTCACTAGTGCGTTGTGCACTTTTAAAACAACATCCCTTGACGTAAACGTTCTGCTTGCCTTTTTTTTTTTGCTTGCCCACATTGTTTAGCAGATGTAAATGATGTGACGACATAAACGGCTCCTTTTCCCCCAAGTAGCCTAATTAAGCTCGGCGTTTCCCATTTTATAGCTGTACTTCCTTTTGGCTGCCTGCAGCTCCTTGCGTTCCACATCAAAGCAGGTCGAGCAGTCCGCAGTTTTGAAGTCCCACGAGAAGCAGATGACACGAAAAAACACTGAACTTGGAAGAACAGTCCTTTGTCGCTGGCGCTGGCTTCCCAGCCCTCCTCTTTTTAGCGGTGGCCCGTGGTGAAAGTGCACCAAAGCCTTTTGATCACAGACGGAAGCTATGACATCTCCCAGCTCTAACAAGTCGCCTTCCGCTCAAGTGTTCTGCTTGCCACATCTGTTACTGGCAAGAGGAACTCTGTGTTCCAGTGGCGACGGGGAATCAATACCCTCACGCGTCATTCAGATTCTTGCAGGAACTGCTGAAAGAGACAGGGGTAATAAAAATCCATAAACTGCACCTTGGGTCATTATGCAAGTGTGTTTCCTGCTCAGAGGGCTTTGTTTTATACGCAGCGCTTTTTGAGTCACTGGGTGGATATAATACTTCTTTTGATGGAAAGACGTGTGCATTTGGAGAGACCTTTAGGGTATATAATGTCTTTGTTCGCATTTTAGCCACATGCATAAAATGCTATTGAGTGAAACTAGAGAATATGCAACAACCAGCCCCCTGCACATTGAGCAGACGCTGGGTTTTCCATGCGCCGGATGCAAGGCAAGCAACAAAAGGAATGATTCAGAGGCTTTAATATCAGGAGAAAGTGTTACAGAGATGAGATCGATTTTTGTTTTTAGAACTCTGTCGTCCAGGCTTTTTTTTGTTTTTTGTTGTTTTTTTGCAGTCGGAGAAGAGTTCTTCTCCTGCAAGGGGAAAAGATAAAAAAAAATGTTTAATGGCACAGTCTGCCTTCCTTCTTCACTTCTTTATTTGTTTATTCATTCGTTACTTCTGGATTAAGGAAAGGGCTATTTTTGTAACGCAGCGTTCTATCAGAAAATCCAGCAGCATTCCCATTAATCATATATTTCTTTCGGTGGAGGACAGCCTGAGTTTTATTACCCACAGGTTTAATCCCCTTTTACCTTTGTTTACCAGTTGAGCTTGGTACAGGCACTTATAGGATCCTTTTTTTGTTTTCTAAAATTGGCTTGGGGAGTTGATCATCTGTTAAGCTTGATCACAATGGCCACAGTGGCAAGACAGGGGATTTTTAGTTTCTGTACAGTTTTTAAGATTAAATAGGTATAATGACCTTGATCCCTGGCTTGGGATTTGTTCAACGAACTTTGTTGAAGAAGGATTAATGAGAATGTTTTTATTTCAGTGTGGTGTGCGCCCTCTCTCTAAAGAATATACAGTTGAGACAGAAGTTTGCTATAATCTACCAATGTAAACGGTGTTAGGCTTATACAGCACACTTATCCAGAATGACTTGATTCAGCCTTTTCAGTATTGTTATTAAACTATGAAATATTTTCATGTGAAAAGGGGGTATTTTTAAATTGCAAACTGTTGGAGGACAGAGAAATCACTTAATGCATAAATCACGAAGGGTGTTTGCTGTGATAACGTCTTAACTATTTATCACTGTGTGTTTTTAGCACTCCTGTGCCCCGTGATGACATTAGAAAACTGCTCTCTGATATTGTACTATAGCTCAAGTCTTTAAAGCACAGTACTTTTTAAGAAGGTTTTTTTTCTTGGCTGACAAAGCCTATATATTTATCACACACAGTTATTTTCTGTGTTTTTCTTTTTCTAATTCATGTGGCTTTTTAATGGTATTTTGTATGACTATTCCTGTTAAGAAGAACAATTTGAATGACCTCTGAAGAAAATGTATTGGTAGGAGACTGGCCATCCTGCCTACTTATGAGCCCATCCTTTTATATAGCATTAAGCAATTCTTACCAAGCGTCAAGCTTAGTTTTGAGAGTTTGTATTTTCTCCATCGTTGCACCACAGCATGGGTTAACCTTTGTCTATACAGCCTTGTATCCATCTATCCATTTTAACCACTTTATTCAATACAGGGTCACGGGACAGCTGGAGCCATACCTGGCAAGCAACGGGCACAAGGCAGGGTACACAGGCACAAACGCACACACTCACACCAGGGCCAATTTTACAGAACCCAGGTAACATACCAGCATGTCTTTGATCTGTGGGAGGAAGCCAGAGAATCTGAAGGAATGGGGAAGAACATGCAAACTCTGTGTAGATAGAACCCCAGACATTGAACCCTTGTGCTGCGAGGCTGCAATTCAAGCCAATACACTGCCATTCCACCCCTACGTCCTAGTAATCAGTGTGAAATTGAATTGGGAAAAAAAACATATCCTGTTGTATTCCATTGCTGAACTTTAATTTTAAAGACTCTCTACGGCCTTGGATGTGTTCTTGGCCATTTTGTTCAGAGACTGAACTGGACTTTTGTTTCTCCTGCAGGACATGGGAAGACGCCTAAAGATGCTGCCTCTGTACGCGCAACCCACCCCATCCCTGCTGCCTGTGGAGTGTACTATTTCGAAGTCAAGATAGTCAGTAAAGGACGAGATGGGTGAGACATACAGATTTGTGGGTCCTGTGATGTATTGCTAATAGGGTTTTTGACAGTGTACCTTAAGCCTTCCAGGATAAACATGTAAAAATCTCTCTTTTTAAAATTTTTTGTCCATAGATATTTTGTGATGTTTTGTGTTATAGCTGATATAAAATTAGATCATTAAGCCGACCACAGCTTGGATTCTCGAGTCATTGAAAAGATAGTCGTTGGCCATGTAATTTTAAGGATCATTTGACCTTAATTTTAGCAGCTGAGAAATCTCTTGGACGTTTTGGGGAGTGGCTGTCGTTGACAGGGGAAATTCAGTCAGGATCCCCCTTTTTGAGATTCGTTGCAGTTTGTCATAGCCCAAGTTCACACTTTCCCAGTCTGTGATCAGAACTGCTGTTTTCGTGCGATCTTGAAGAAAGGTTGGCAACAGAATTAAAAAAAGTTATTTTTTCTAGGTAGTCAGTGGGTTGATATTGTTCTTTAATTGGCCAGTGAGAGAAGAATTAGACGGAAGAGAAGTAAATTGTTTTCTTCCACATCTCGGGTTTTTCTTTAGACTTCTGCAGCTCTGGCGTCTTTAGAATATGAAATGCACATTAACCCTGAATGTATACCGGTTCTCTATATTTGATCAAAGGAAAAAATAACACAATGGTGTCATCAGCAATCCAAGGAATCATACAACACCATTGCATGTTTCACTTATGGCAATAAGGGAACCGGTAACCTCCCAGATGTGGATTCGGGGTGGAGTGGTGGCTCTGTGGCTAAGGATCTGCACCTGTGGCTAGAAGGTTGCCGGTTCAAATCCCACAGCCGGCAGAGGAATCCTACTCCGTTGGGCTCCCGAGCAAGGCCCTTAACCCCAGCTACTCCAGGGGCGCTGTACAATGGTTGACCCTGCGCTCTGACCCCAGGCTCTCTCCCTGTCTGTGTGTCTGTGTCTCTCATGGAGAGCAAGCTGGGTTATGCGAAAAGACGAATTCCTAATGCAAGAAATTGTATAGGGCTAATAAAGTGATGTTATGTTAGATTGCCTCAAGAAATGTATACAATTTAAATTAAAAAAAGTGACAAAGAACTGGATGTAAAAATGCCTTCACCTAAACATTCTGTACTTGCAATACATAACAGAGGACATCCCATCATCATCAAAATGAAATTGAAAAATTAAGCATTTTGTTGAACAAGCTCAGAATGGGAGCTCCCCATTTCAATGTGTTTTGTTTCTCAAAGAATATCACTGTCTTGGTGAGATCATAAATTCGTTTTTTCCTCAGTTTGACATCCCAGAAGTAAGTTTATTTGTGTGAAAAAATGTGAATCGGTTCTAACATCAGTTCTAACAAAAACTCCATAAAAGTGCAGGACCTCCAAATGTGGTGTTATTAACATGTGCGTGAATCAGGTTTAAGACAAGTTGAAGTTCAGAAACTAGCAGAAAATGATTCTTTGCTTGTAGAAAAGTGAAAATTGGAAACAATTCTCTATAGTGCTGCATTCCTTTTTCCATGTTTATCACAGATATATCATACCCCAGTGTACCTCTGAAATTGCTCTATTTTAATCTAGCTACTGACTCTAGGATAAATGGTGTGGCTGTGGTGCCAGTATAGTCAACAGCAGTCTTCAGGTTCTGCATAGGTAGCCCGGTATTTTTTCTATACGTCTATACGGTGAAACATGATAGGTAGCTTCATCCCCTAGAAATAATCTATTTGCCTGTTTAATAGCTACAGCTATTTCATGTGTGCTGTCCAACAAAAAATAATATTGAAAAGCTGAATCTGGATGTATTTATTTTCTCAGGTACATGGGAATTGGTCTTTCTGCTCAAGGTGTCAATATGAATAGACTCCCAGGTAAGCTTTTCTTTATTTTTTCCTTAAACTGTTTTTTTTTCCAGGCATGAGCAAGATTTTGAAGGTGGGTTTCATTTTTGTTCCTTGGGATTAGGGCAAAATATTTTATTGTTTATTAAACTTGTTAAACTCCCTTTGAGATAAACCATCTCTTTTATTAGGTGTTCCAGAGAGGTCACAGGATGCAATAGACACTGTATATCCTGTGAGAGTTCTGTAGACAACAGTAGAAAATGCATGAACATTTTCTGTGATTTCAGTGCACTGACAACAAAGAAGTAAAATGTGCTACGGCAGGGTGTTTATGCATGTTTTGAAAATATTTTGTAAAATATATTTGTTTAGTAGTTATAAATCCAAAATTGTCATCTTCTCATAATGTAAACAACAGAGGATTGAGTTGAGTATACACCAGCTATTTATGGACAGTTCCCCTAGCTGTGGTTAACATCAGTATTCAGCGTGAAGAGCTGCAACTGGTTTGTTCGTGCTTAACGGCTGAGTTGTTGTGGAGCTTTGCGTCTCTGTCTCCGACAGGCAGGAGTGTGAGGAGGCACAGTGCTACGGTGCAGATGTTATCAATCAATTCAAAAAACTAAACTGTGAGGAAAGGCAAAAAAAAAATCCTGATGCTGTCAACAGGGAAGGGGGAAGCAAAACTGGGTATGAAGCCCAAGGCTCTTTGGTCTCGTCCGTCATCTGAAATACACAAAAACATTCCATCCTGGGAAATGTAGCATATCGCTTCAAATATATAAGCAGTCTTCTTGTTCACCGTTTCATTTATATTTCTTCTTATTAATGCCATTTCTTCGAATGGGCGTGATGTGTTGTCTTTGGTGTTTTAGGTTTTGAATGCGATTCCCCAAGGACAAACAAACCACTGGAGTAAAACAAAATATCTCTGAAGAGGCAAAAAAAAATAGTTACTATTTCTTTAAAATCAGGAGTTAATAGATTTCATTGTTTTTAAAGCGAGGTGGTTTTATAAGCCCTCCCGCTCTCTCTTTAAGGTTTAAATGCTGTTATGTATGACCTGTGAGTTGTTGATTTGGTGACCGCTTAATTACTTGCATTAAAAAAACAACTGTCATTTTTATTTTTTAACTTCTTGTTTGTGACAAAAATATGTATGGTTGTAAAGGCGCTGATGCCAAGAAACGTACCTTAAGAGTTCTTGCTTACATTTACAGTACTGTACTAGTACAATAAAGGTATTTGTGATACACTACTACAATATTTCAGACTTTTGCCATTCCTGTGGTTTTTGTATGTGGTGGCCACCTGGAATTTCATCTTTTTGATGTTATCCTTCTTTAGGCTGGGACAAACACTCCTATGGTTACCATGGAGACGATGGGCATTCCTTCTGTTCGTCAGGCACTGGGCAGCCCTATGGCCCAACGTTTACAACTGGCGACGTCATCGGCTGCTGTGTGAACTTGATCAACAACACCTGCTTCTACACAAAGAATGGTCACAGTCTAGGTGAGAAAATTAACAAAGGAAGGCTTGGGTGGAGCTGTAACACACAAGCACACCACTCTTTTGTACTGTACTTGTGGAGGAATAGTGTTATGGCACAAAGAATACAAATATGCCAGCAGGTTTATTCGAACATTGGAAGTGCCCTGTTTTATTTTTAACAGTTGACAGTGAATACACCTGTTAGATAGCCATTTGGACTGAGGAGTTTAGTAAGGCTGTTAACATATTCTTGTACTTAAGACAGTATTTAGAGTATTTCTTCATCTCCGTGGACAAAAACATTCCAGTGCAAAAAAAGTGGGAAATGTTTGGGTAGGGTGTCTTACAAATGTATTCACTGATGATGTTCTGTTGATGTTGTTCTATTTTGTTTACTTACAACTGATGCATACACGTTTTTTGTAAGTGAATGTTTTTAATCAAAACTCGAATGCTCCAATTGAAACCTGTTATGAGTAAAAGCCATTATATGTCAGCAAAAACTGCAAAGAAAAATCGAAAGCTAAAATATGTTGATTGTATAAGTATCCACCCCTAATGATATGGCAAACGTAAATTAGTGCACAAAATTACTTTGACACGTCACACAATTAGTTGCATGGCCCATATATAGTGATTCACATAATGCACCTGTCTCTGTATTGGGTGCCCCAGTAAACTTGTGAATTTCAAACAAGGATGAGGTCCATGAAGACTAAGGAGCTTTCAGAGTAACTCAGGGTTAAAGGTTTAGAAAGGCACAAGTCTGGAAAACGGTATGCAAAAAACCAAAGACACTGGCTATTCCTTTGAGCACAGTGAAGCTGATCATCAAGAAGTGAAAGGCAACGCTGCTTATGTCAAGCTGTCCCTCCGAAATGAGTTACCAGGAAAGGAGAAGACTAGGTAGGGCTGACTGTGAAAAAGCTACATTCAGTGGCTGAGATGGGAGAAAATGTCCATGAGTCAACCATAACTCAGTCACTCCACAAAGCTACACTGTGTGGCTGAGTGACTAAAAGGAAGTCGTTTCTGAAAAACACCCACCAAAGCATTAAGCTGATGCTGTAAACATGTGGCAAAAGGTTTTGTGGTCAGACGAGACAAAATTGGAACCTTTTGGTCTAAATTCAGAATTATGTCTGGTGGAGCATCCAGTGAAAGCCATCCCTGCTGTCGAGCATGGCAGTGGCAGGCTTACATTATGAGGCTGCTTCCCAGCTGGAGGAACTGGGAAACTTGTCAAGTTTGAGGGGAAGTAGATGAATCAAAGTACAACCAAATCCTAAGAGGAAAACCTGCTAGAGATCTAAAACTGGGGAAAAAATGTTTCACCAGCACAATGACACAAAGCACAGGACTAAAGCTATACTAGGTTTAGCAAGAAGGAACCACGTCCTTCAGTTATCTTTGAGACAAGACATCAGTAATGCTGTCCAACAGTGATCCCTGAGCACTTTACAGAGCTTGAGGGGTGAATAATTTTAGTTGTGTAAAAAACAAATCACTGTATATGCTGAATACATTCTTTGAATTCTTAACCACTCAATATAGAAAAAGTCAATGAAGGAAATAAAAAAACAAGATGATCAAATTCTTACATATGGCACGCATTAAAATGCACGTATATCTCATCTCTCTGTAAAAGAAGAAAAGACCACATTCTGCAAATGTGTGAGTGCATCAGTTTGTATCTTGAAACAGGTTTTATCTTTTTCCAAAGTAAACTAATCACTGGTGGTTCAGAGCAAACATAATAAATGTTTATTACAAGGACTGGCCATTGAGTTAATTGTAGTTCACTTCTATTCACTTGTGAACAAGAAGAAGGTTCAAATCCTCGAGGCTCTTGTACCCTTGAACACGTTACTTCACAAAAATTGCTGCAGTGAAATATACAGCTGTTTAAAAGGGTGCAAAAATAAGTCACTTTGGGTACAAGCATCAGCAAAATAAATTTGTAGCAGTTGCTAAATACTCTCAAAAGCAGTAGTATTTGTCAACTCTCTTAAGAGATTTCACTTCTGAGTGCTACATTTCTGTTTTTCTTGTCTTGCAGGTATTGCTTTTACAGATTTACCGGTAAGTGTAACACTGAAATAGATATCTGGTTGTATGTTACAATGCCCTTGAATACTAAGACATATTGCTTTGCATTATGAAGTCCTTCAGCTGGACAGATTTTAATTAAAAACTAGAAAGACAATACTTGAGCTGCTAAAGCTGAACCCAGCAAAGATTTCCTGTGAGTACACCCTCTCTCATCAGTGTCATCATTGTCATTGTCAAGTGAATAGTGCTTTTGGCAGTATTATAAGCTAGTAAATACCAAGTGTGTTACCAAGTAAGATTTATTTTCTCATGTTCATTCCAAAAAATGATACGTAAACTTGTTTAGATTGATTTGAAATTTCTCTTTGATATAACAGTGTAGGGGATGTCTAATATAACATCTAAATTAATATGGAGAGAGCACTGGCTCAAGATCAGTCTTCCAGTAGAAGTGAACAGTTAGCTCATGTGTTAGACGTGCACAATATCCTTGAAATAACTAAAGAATACTACTGCCATGTCTTTTCTTCTCTTTTTTTCTTTTTATTGATTTTGTTTTGTTCCATTTTGAGATTCTTTGCCCAAATCACAGGTTTCGGCAGAGTCTCCTGCTGAGGCAGTAGTTTGACTATTTATCTGTGGGTTAAAGAACAGTCGAAGATTTAAATTAAAACTTTGACCCACCTGTCAGTCAGGAATTTCCCTACAATTAGTGGTGGCTTCTTGCTTGCTTAGTGGCTACTTGTTCCTGTTCAGTTGAAAACCGTAGTTGAGTATTGGGTAGAAAATGTACTTTGGGGAGGGGGGGGTTGTTGTGAAGTGTGATTTGTCTCAGGCCTAAATCTGAAACCATTGCAGATAGTTTTATTTGGAGACTCTTGCAACATGCAGAAAAGTTGTGCTCTTTATCTTCAAAGAGCAAATTGATTTTTAGTATTCCTCAACACATTGTGATATTGTGAGTCAATGTATATATTCTGAACAGCTGGGACACAGGCTTTTGAGTGTTTTTTAAAAAACAGAAATTTCAGTGTTTTTTTTTTCCTGACAAATTGATGTTTTTTTCCCCAATTAAAATAAGTTTTCTTGCCAGCATTTCTGAAGACTTTCAGCTCTGAAGTAGGTTGTTACATCTGAATCACTTTACCAATTACTTTTTTGGACGAATAGATGCACTGTTAAATGTGGTTTCACCAATGTCCATAAAATATTCTGAATACTTCTTGTTTCGTGGTCTTGGATATTACACTCAAGAATGCCTTTTTTTGCATTGGTGTTGAGTTGATCATAATGTGCATTTAACAAGGAACATCACAGAATGATTGTTTCACCGGAAGATTGCTCAGGAAACTTTTGGTAAGCCGTCTCTGAGTTGTAAACCTGAAAAAGTACTGATTTAAAAAATCAGTTTTGTCATGTGGTATCTTTACAAAGAAAGGGAAGGGGTGAAGTGAAAATTCTCAACTGAGTCCCAGACCTTTGAGTCACTTGTTAAATCCTCACTCTTCTTTCACAGCCCAATTTATACCCCACAGTGGGTCTTCAGACACCTGGGGAGGTAGTGGATGCAAATTTTGGTCAGCACCCATTTGTCTTTGACATTGAAGACTATATGCGTGAGTGGCGAACGAAGCTCCAGACCCAGATTGACAGATTTCCCGTTGGCGAGCGGGAGGGCGAGTGGCAGACAATGATTCAGAAGTAAGTTTGAAACGCTTGGGTGCCTTTGTTAAATGGAGAGAGCAAGGTCTGAGGGCAGTGGAGAACCAGATACCCTCACTCTGAATGGGTACTTCCTGTTTTTTCTGTGCGTGCTTAATTGCATTGTTTGCTAGTACGTCTACGTGTCCTGTAGAAACTCATTTTACAGACTGCCATGACTGATTTCAGTCATTTAAATCAAGTCAGGCATGCCGGTTCTGCTTACTTGTTGAGGATATATGAGATTTATGATGAGCAAGAGGTACATATCTGTTTTCCCTCCTCTTCCAGAATGGTTGCGTCTTACCTAGTTCACCATGGTTACTGTGCTACGGCTGAAGCCTTTGCCAAATCCACAGACCAGGCAGTACACGAGGAGCTAGCCTCCATCAAAAACAGACAAAGTAAGTTGGCTTGGATGCGTGTTCATTTACAGAACACTAAAGGCTGTTTTTTTTTTCGTCTTTCTATAATTATCTGAGCCAATCCCTGCTGGCATACCCAAGACGTGACATGGAATGGTATGGTTTATGTGTCATGCTGATTTAATTTAGTAGTGCTGATCAGTCTTTAGTACTGCTAGAGGGTCCTAGAATGTCATGTAGTAGCATGTGCTGTATATGGCAAAGCTGATGTGTCTAGGACAGTTGTGTTTTAGTTTTTGTTGGAGGGTCCCTTGCATTATTATCAAGTCAGAAGTAGCAATACCAAAAATAAATACATTGGCATAAATTTTGCATTCGGACTGCTTATCGGCTCATTTTTTACTGTTTGTTTTGCACATTTTAGTCTGTATAATTGATACAGCTGTATATATGTGCTATTGTAACTCATTCTCAAGGAGTCTTTTCAGAAATAACTGTGGATAGACCAGTTAGATAACAAGGTACAGTAGGAAACATTCTTTGACAAACCAGGAAGTAACACAAAATAAGGAGAACAACAGAGTTTCCCATGGATTCAGCCACTAAAGGCTGAATCTTTTAAAGATTCGTTTGGAGTGTAGGTTGAGCACCATAGTCCAGTTGTGTCATTAATGTGTTGTGACTAGGATTCTCTGAACTCTGCTACTCCCAGCCGCTGCCTGGACTGAGTGGACTGAAAGGGCTCTGATGTGCATGTTATAAAGGAAAGTATATGCTGTGCACAGCCTTCTCATCCCAGTACTAGGGCTGTTGAGGCATTGACCAATGTTTAGCAATTCCAGATTTTGGATTGAGGGGTACAAGGCCGGAGCGGTGGCTCTGTGGCTAAGGATCTGCGCCTGTGACTGGAAGGTTGCCAGTTCAAATCCCACAGCCGGCAGAGGAATCCTACTCCGTTGGGCCCCTGAGCAAGACCCTTAACCCCAGCTGCTCCAGGGGTGCTTTACAATGGCTGACCCTGCGCTCTGACTCCAAGCGTCTCTCCCTGTCTGTGTGTCTGTGTCTCATGGAGAGCAAGCTGGGGTATGCGAAAAGACAAATTCCTAATGCAAGAAATTGTAAAAGGGCTAATAAAGCAACATTATTATAAAAAGAATACAATTGGTAAATGGATTTTACCAGTTTTTAATTGCTAATTCCAAATAAAAAGCAAACAGGAGACAGGTTCATAGCAGTTAAAACATTGATACAAAACTTTTTAGAAACATTTCTGCTTATGGTAAATTAATATGGTGTTGGGCGATCACACCTGTTTGATGGAGATGGAAAATATGGTGGCATCATTCTTAAAATATCCAATAAATGCTATATTGATGGCTGAGAAGGCTTTGACATCTGAACAATATCAGTGTTATGTTCATGAAAACATTGGGAGACCACACACCTGATTATTACTTCTGGCTCTGTGGAGCTCACAGTGGACCATTTGTGATGAAACTAGCTGCTCATACCTCATCTTGAAATTTGCAGTCGCTTGAGCTGCAGCTGCAGTGTGTCGTGTTTTGACCTGTGTTTAATTTGATTTTAAATTAATTTTAAAGTGTTTTGCACTTTTAATTAATGCATGGAGGTCACAATTCCAGAGTATGCTCTTCTAGCTTCTGTTTCCCTTTGCTGATGATGTCGTCCTTCCCTCAGAGTTGACATCACCTCAGATACCGTTGCTCATGAAGCGTCAGCAAGTTGAGCAGTCTTGATCAATGAAGTTCCTGCCAAACGTGCCCCAGCAGTCACCCCTCTGTTCAAATTCACTGAGGTCTCCTAAACAGCCATGTTAGCTTCTATACTTGACCCTAAGCATGCTGGGATGGCATGACCACACTTTTCAGTATATTTGGTGTCCCTCCTTTATCTAGGTGTTTCTGTTGTTTTCCATTACTTTATATGTTACGTCAGGTAAAAAAAAAATAATTAAAGCAGGCATGGCACACTCAGCTGGGCTTTTTGTATCACGTGTCACTGAATCTCACAGTTTGTTCCTTGAGCTATAATGACCATTTGAAATTGTTAGAAGGCCTTCTGCCATGGGCAGTATGGAATTTAGAGATGTGTTAATTAAGTAATTAGAGCAGTTAGGATGACGAGTGTGTGGGCGGAGCAGAAGCCAGAAGGCACACTGGACCAAAAGGAGCTACTGGCGTCACCCCTGGTTAGAGAGCTGTGTTTTGCACAAACAAAAACTGTTGCTAAGAGACAGCGATTTCACTGATGCTCACGCTGTGGAACAGCATCGGTGTCTGCTTTGCTTCTGATGTCCCATTCCAAAGACACAACTGAACTCTACATCAGCCTCCAACAGTAACAGTGTTGCTGTCTTCTGTTTTCTGTGGTCAGAGTCAACGAATGTTAATGTATGATGTGAAAACAATTTTCAGGAAAAGCGAACTTTCATTTCGAATTAAAGGAAGTTGGTGTACACATCTGACATTCAACAACAATGTCAGATCTTGAATAAATCGTGTAATAAAAGTAGGGTACAGTCCAACAGATCTGAGTTTTTTTCAATTAAGGCGCATTAATCCTCTTATCATTCTTCTGTTTCATTCCTGCATTAAAAATGTCATAATTGTTGCATCTTTGACAAAAATGTTAACCTAAAGATGTCTGAGAATGTCCTTTTTTTGTTTGAGCAAAATCATGGAGTTATCTGTTGCTTTGAAGCAAGGTTGGTCATTTTGTTGAATTTCATTTCAGGATGTACTCAGCTATGTATCAGCCTTAATAGCCCCATGTCAGGCTACAAAGTCCTTTATGGTTAAAGTAAATCACATCCTGTTATTGCTGCTGAAGTTATTTATTTCTACCGTTCTTGTTCATTGTCTGTTCTTTGTCTTTCAGAAATTCAGAAGTTGGTTTTAGCAGGAAGAATGGGGGAAGCGATCGATACAACACAACAGCTTTACCCAAGTTTACTAGAAAGAAATCCCAACCTCTTATTCATGTTAAAGTAAGTTCTCTGACTTCCAATGACAGCACATAGCACATAAAGTTTGTAAATAACTGCTTAGGATGAGAACTTTTCTAGTCACCAAGCATAGTGTTGCTGTGCTAAATCCTCTAAAGTTTCAAACAACATTCAAATCCTACCATGAGAGACACAACACAGGTTGCAAGTATATGAAGCAAACTGTCCACATTTAAGTAAATGGTGATAGTTTACATTCTTAATTAACGTTATTTCTTATTCTTACTAATTATGTTTTATAGAGTGCTTTCTAATATTGTTTATTGGTCTTAAATATACTTTTTTAATATTTTTGTGAAATAGAAATACCTGTCTAAAAAACAGAGTTGCTATTATTACTACAGCTTGAGTTCTGGCTCTTGTGGAATTATAAGCTTTTCTGCTTCTGCTAATGCAGAAGCATCTTCAAGGTTGTAAGATGTAAGTTTTTATACAGTATTTTCACAGCCAAGAGTGAAAGTCATCATGTACTGTACTGTGGTTTATTTCTGAACTGTTATATGTGGTCTGTAAATGACTACTTCATTATACATTTGTGTCATTCAAACCATGGATATAACCTGCTTCTGGGCTGCTGGTACAGCCTTTTCTGTGACATTTCAGTACATTGTCATTTACATAGAGTTTCACATCCAGATACATTGGTCAATGAATTAGCCAATGACCAGATATTGCCTCTTTTAGAAATATGGGTTGTTATTTATTAACGCATTTACTGTATCCTTATCAGTTCCACGTCTCTGCCTGCCATCGGATGGCAGCATCCCACAGGGAAATGAGAAGAAGCTGTCACTGATAAATGAAACAGTGATTTAGTATAAGCTCCCGTTAATGCTGTCAAGTGAAGCGGTGGTTTTGTTGACAGACATTGATCACTTTTTTTGATCCTTATGAAGAGCAGATAGCTGGCGATTACCATAATTGAAGTACAACTTGGAGAACAACCTGGTTTCTAAACGTGGACGTGTATGCCCCGCTTTAACAATAGAAGGGCCCTACGAGAGATGTACAATTAAAGACCTCAAAGGCCAGATTTCCTTTAGGATTTGTAGGTTTTCATTAGCAAAATAAAAAAAAAAGCATGCCTTGATTTTTACGTCCAATTAAGCTTTTAATGTTGTAGTGCAATAAAAACCACAAGATCCAGTGGCCCTTGAGGACTGGGTTGCTATACTTGAAGTTTACTTGAAACAGAGGATATTACGTAATACCAGACATCAAATTAAAAGTTGGCTACAAATTCTGTCAGTAACATCTCTTAAAAAATCTTTTTCGGTGAGGGATCTTTCAGCTAAGACTGCAGCGCACAAGTGTAATTATTGTCCATGCTCTCCTGGTTATGCACCAGCAGCTGATCTCCCATCCAGCCTTTTCTCCCTGTAGAGATACAGATGCTGACGGCATCCTCATTCTGTTGGGTAGCATGAGGCACGGAGGCTGGTGCTCCCGAAGCAGCCCTTTCACCTCTCGGTCTCTCGCAGGGTGCGGCAGTTTATAGAAATGGTGAACGGGACGGACAGCGAAGTGCGGTGCCTGGGGGGCCGCAGCCCGAAGTCCCAGGACAGCTACCCGGGGAGTCCACGGCCCTTCGGCAGCCCCAGCACGAGCCCCAGCCACAGCGCCATCATCCACAGCCTGGCCTCTGTCAAGCCCAGCGGCTCGCACGGGCACCTGGCAGGTAAGCACGAGTCTCCCGCTTCGCCCGCGCACACGGTCCCATACACCTGCCCGCACCAGAGCCTCTCCGTCACTCCTGCTCACCTGTAATATTAAATTGTTAATTTCAGTTAAATATTGAAGAATTACAGATAATAAAACTGTACTGATTGCATATATGATATTGAACTTGTAAATATGTTGCTTAAATTGTTCAGGCCTCTGAGAACTAAATGAATTTAGCAGCATCACATTACAGTATATGGCTGTTTTACTCAAAGATATCTCACATATTAAACGCCCCAAATGTTTGGATATATTTTATAGCATAGGTTAATTTAATGTCTAGTGTGTACTAGAACTTTTGTGCAAAGGCATTTGATGAATTCAGTATACATTCATGTTTTCAATGTATTAGACATTATATAATGAAATATTAGATACTTTCATATTATAAGATATGAGATACTTTTTTTATCTAATATTCCAGATTTCTATCATTGCTATTTGAAATAAAGAAGTGGCAAATCATAAGTTTTGTGTTTTTTGATAAGTCAGAAATACTACTAGCAGAGTCTGTCATCATTCATAAATTGTCCAATAGTTATCCCATATGCTTACACGTATGAACAAAATAATTGGGAGACATTAAAGCTGTCAACCTGCCAAAGTATTAAAAGCATTTAAATGCACTTTGCAAATGTTTTTTTTAAGTATTTAAAATCTCAGTTTTCAAGTACAGAATAAATAATGTAGGTTGCAAAGTACTCATAATGTGTCTTTCATGTTGAGAGGTTTCTAAAGGCATTTACTGTATTATACATACAGTATGTATTTTACGAAGTAATGACTATTATACAAAGACGTAATTGAACAGAGTGGCACAGCACTTAGTGGGCACAGTAAACTTCAGTCAAAGAATGCCATAATAAAGTATTTTAATTGGAGAGATTTGAAGTTATTGTAAGCATTATTTTAACACTAGTAATATTCGAGACTGTAGTTTTGCACTTGATCCATTCTGTTAATTTTTTTGAATAGATCTCAAGTGATTTTTTGGAGCAGCGTAGTAGTACATTGGCTGTTACTTCTTCCCCAGACGTGCTGCCGGGGTTAATCGGTGTCTTTAAATTGTCCTGGTGTTTGCGTGCACAGAATCAAAGTAACTTCTTGGAAAAAAACCAAGAAGATGGTATCTTTAGTCAAGACAGCGGCCTTAGCAGTTCTGTTGCTAGGATAATGAAAGGTGTCTGTGGGGAGTGAATCATTGTACTGCTGATTCTCCTCGAAAGAGCTGCACTGAAAGTTAAGAAATAGCCACCAACTCCTTCAGTTGCCTGAGTGTGATGTAGAGGGTGACTAAAGAAACAGTTGTTTTGGAGAAATTGCTTTCTGCCTGCCACCAATTACGTCTGCTGTTTTTATTGACAAGTCGGTCAGTTCCTATTGTCATTCCAATCTATTTTAGGCTATAGGCTTCAATAAACCTGATTATTGAAACACTAATTTATTTCTGAACTAAATGCCAAGGAAAATGGTTCGAAGTTTTGAAATTGTGCTACACAATTTGAAAATGACCATTTTATTTCATGTACCTAACTGCTGTTTGCAGTCATGGCAGAATAATTTGGGGACTGTTCACAAAACACAAACAAAAAAATAGAACTACTGTTTCTCAAAAGTCTTGAATATTTTAAGTTTTGAACTTTGCTTAATGTACTCTACTTATATATATATAAAAATAAGAACATAATCAAAGACTTGTAAGTTATCACTCCCTATGCTAAAACGTGTAAGATTAAAAGTAAGTTCAACTGTCATGTTTATAACTACGGCCATAATATGTCCTTATGTTGGGATATGTTCCTAACACTGGATGTAAAGGTGATGTATGCATGAAGTGAAACATAATTTCTGGCCATTTTTGGTTTGTAGATGTATTGGAAGGAAAAATATTGTGTGCCTTTGGCTGTAATTATGTTTTATTATAAATTATCTTATCTTTTTTTTCTTCTCCTTTAGTAAAATTTTGCTGTGGAGGGCTGTTACTTATCCAGTGTGCAATTCATTAACAGTGCAAATTGGGCTCTTACTGAAGTGTATGTGCTGTCTATCAACTTCCTTTCAGAGTGTGATTAATCTTGGGTGTGAAGAGAAGGCCCCAGGGCCTCTTTATTCTCTCTGATCACACATCAGAAGCTTTCGGCAGCGTTGCTAACTTCAGTACACATCACTCTGAGAGCAAGGCTGGTAGTCTTGGAACAACAGGCTTTAAGCCCTGAATCATCTTCTTAATCAACTGTTTGCATAACAAACCATCTGCTTAGACCACATTTTGTTTACAGCGTCAATATGTGCATACGTGCACGTTTCGTGTATACCATTGAGTGATAAAGAAGGTAATCGTGGTTAGACTGAATCTGTAGTAAAGCTTCAACGCATGATGAAAACATGGATAGGAAAAAAACAGCAGTCTAAATCTTAGACTGCCTTACCTAAGAGCCTCAAGATTTTCTTCTCCATTTTCTGATGGACTTTTTGGGTGTTCTCTCTCTAAAGTATGAACGACTGTTCTAGGTTACTTGCGTGTGGTGTTTTGCATGTGGTTGCTTTCCAAGGTTTATCATAATCTCCTGCTTTAGTTTATGATAAACAGTGCTCGCTTCACTGTATGTTCTCTTCTGTTGGAGATTTTCTACCCTGTAAATCTACTGCCAAGCTTCTCATATGGGGAAAATCACAGTGCATCCGAATTCCTGTGTCATATGGAAATATTTTATAAGCCACGTCTGCCAGAGTACTGTGTTCCCTGAAGCACTGAAAAGCTCAAACGTCTGTGAAATAACGGATCTAACCAGGTGACAAACTTGAACGCAGTGTGCGCTGAAGTCTTTTTCTTTTACTTCCAGTGCCTCTGTGCTTTTTCCAGGTTTCGACAACTGCACTAACGGAGTGATGTCCAGCAAACCACACCAGGGACCCCACTGTCACAAGCACCCAGCCTCCAATCTAAGTAATGCAGAGCTCAACAGTATAAACAGCACCAGATCCCAGCAGTCCAACAGCTACCCAAGGTAAGGCTTGAGCCAAAAATCTCTTTGCTGCTACCCTTAAATCAGCTTCTGGGAAAAATGGGGGGAAAAATGGCTTTGTAAGGTAAGGTAGTGCTTGAGTGCTTTTGCGGCGGAGCCGTTCTGTTATAAAACGGACCTACTTTGGCCTTCCTCAGGCCATTGTGTGACACACTTCTTTAAAGAAGCCAGTGTATCTGATTCATTAACATGGCCGTGTTATTGAATCTTGTTCCCTTCTCTCACAAACCCTAGTTTAGCAAATTGTGTTCTCAGTTTTAGATGCACTTTCCAGTATTTTCCACTTGTCTTTGGATTCATTCATTTCAATGTTGAGTCTCAGTAAATCTAATAGCTTTCACTTTTTTATTGCAAATGAGGTTTTTTTATTGCTTGAATCAGATTTCCTCATGGTTTTCTGTGTTCAAGATTTAGAAAGCTCTGTTTCTCTTATTAGCCTGTCGGTTTAGAGTTCAGGGAGGTATATTGTCTGCTCTCTTAAGGAGAGATTCATTTAATACTATGCTTTTTTTGTAATTTGGTGCCGAATATTGTACACAATATTCATATAAAACTTCATTTTATATGAAGTGTTACCAGTGCATTGTACAATTGTTTAACAATGTCCCTTGATTTGAATTCTATACCTTTTTATAGCCTAAAACTGTTTTTTTTGGTTCCTGACTGTGTCTAAAAGATTTAATAATGTATTTACAAGTAATGCAAAGTCTTTCCAAAAGTAACTTCTTCAGGCTGAGTGTTTCCCATTTTATATTTGTAGTTTTTATTTTGTTCAGTATCAGTCAGGTTTTTGCTGAAATTCGGGACTTTGGGTATGATCTATAATCCTGACTAGTTTGCGCACTACACAAGAACCTAGATACTTGGTATAATTTAGAAAGAACGATGGTCCTGGGACAGTTCCCTAGATGCTACAATCATTGCATTGCTTTAGTATGATTCACCCCATATCCGTAATCTTCATTTTGAATTCTTTGATCAGTCTGCATAGCAATTAATGGTTTATGAGGACATTTGTGAAAAATCTTTTTAAAATCTAAATGTGCACTCTGCCTTGATTGACCTGCAGATGTTGCTTGTTTAAAGGCCTATAACAAGTTAAACAAAGCCTACGGTTTCTAAATCCATTTTGACTATCTCTTATATTCTTATTTCTGTACAGATGACGCTCTAGTTAATTATAATTATTGTAGGCACTACATTGGCAATTGTCCAGTCACAGAGCACATTAACCTTGTGTTGAGAGGCTGGTGGGAGGGTTTTTTAATGATCTGTGAATAATATCTCTTGTTACCAAATGCATTTGGCAAAATACATTTGGACCCTAAAGATGTTGTTGATCCAATGTGATACTAGCACTTGTAACCCCCCTTGCCTGTTTAATGTCGTTAATATTTGTAAAGGACTGTGTGTTTGCTCAGCCATGTTATGTGTTCCTTCCTTGGTAAATACCTGAGCAATGTTATTAATTTCCTTGTCATCATCTAAAAGTTTAGTTTTTTTTTCTCCCGAGACGTTTTACTTCATCCTTGTTTTCGTTTAGCTTTTTAGTTTGCTTTATTCCTTTCTACTTCTATCTTGGCTTTTCTAATATCCTTTTATCCCAACCTGTAATTGCAGTTAATTCTGCTACATTCCTTTCACAGGATTCATGTTTTTTTTTCCTTCTTGTTATACTTAAAAGTGCCAATCAAATGTCTACATACCTTTATTGAAATTTCAGGCATTGTATTTTTCCTGGAAATTATCCATTTGTTGTTCACTTGAATATTGTTTGTTACAAGACCTTGACATGACTGTCTTGATTCCAGCCTTTCAACTGAATTTCAGCTGAAATTTCAATAAGGGTGACGAGACATTTGATAATCATTGTATTTAACTATTTGGTCCACTGCTTTCTTGACTTTGGGGAGTTGTGGCTTGCTGATCCGCAGTGACCCTTGTCACCAGACCAGGTCATGTAATAAGATTCTAAAGCTCATCATCTGATTTTGTGTCAGCTACTGTATTGTAGTACCAAACATCTTCCTGGAAGTCCACTATATGTGCTTTTTTTAACTCTAAAAACTGTGCTTTGCTTGATTGGAACTTATTCCTGGATTTGTCATGGATGGTGGGTTCGAAATGCAGGAATAACTCCTGCTTTTGTAGCCAATGGCACCACCTAGCAATTTAAAGTGTGGTAGGTTCTCTTAACAGATTCTTTATCTGCCAGAACCACCAGTGAATCCACAGACCAGTCAGGACAGTTCACCTGCACAATAGCCCTTTTTATTCTCTAGAATTTATCTACCCAGCACACAGAGCCCATGACGCAAAAAAAAACCCTCCAAGAGCCACACATTTTAGACCAACACAAGTACCCCACATACCCCAGTTACCAAACCCAGTGTCCCAGAGGCAAAGTCCAGCAGCGTTATTCTCCGGAACCAGTTCTGGTTGATGATCTAGTGCATCTCTTTCTGCCACTCCAAAGGCAGGAACAGATCCCGTAGGTAGGCATCCCCATCAGTCTGCTTGTAAAGGTGAACGTATCCCTTTAATCAGTTCAGTTCACTTTATTGTCATTCTGCACTTATACAGATGTACAAGAGAGAACAAAATATGTTTTTTTTCCTGGCCCAAGGTGCACAATACACTAGAAACAATTAGCATAAACAGTACAACACAAAAGAACACACATGAGGAGGGGACCGAGAGTCATCAGCAGCTATTGAGGTAGTATTGGTATATAAGCAAAAATAAAAAGATGTAAAAAGTAGATAAATGGGTGTTTACAGTAGTATCCGACAGACAATTAGTGCACTGTTGTTGGTCCCGTGGTAGCGCACTGCCATCTTGGAAAGATTGATGTCTTAGCTGTGGGCAGAGCTAACTGCTCAGGGCTCATTGACTGATTGTAGACAGAGGGCCACATGTGACTGTGCATTATGCATTCGTACCCTGTTCCAGAGCCCCCCTCCCAGTCCCGGCACAGTTAAATCTGTCTCATAACCCCACGTCTCTTCTGAACTGTCAGTTTTAAGAGGGCCTTTAATCAAGGGGAGGAAGCTCAGAAAACAAGGCGCAAACTGCATGAACACTTGGGGCAACACTTGCCCTTCAGTGTCATCCCCTGACACTTTTTGCCCCACACCATTTTTTGTCTGGGACAAGTTCAGCCCTGACTTCCATATTCAAGGGCAGTTTTTAGCAGCCTCAGCTCCACATTTTTTAGCAGCTTCGTCTCAACTTCCTCACCCTTAATTCTAACTAAACAATTCATGTAGAACACACACAGGCAGGCACTCCCACAATGAGTCAGACTCTTTTCCCTTCTGTTGTGGTCTATTTAGTTATAATTCAGGCAGCCCACCTCAAGGAGGGCAATTTGGAAACTCAGACATTAATTATAGTCTCGTTTAAACTTTTAAAAGCTAAATGTTCTTGTGCTCCAATAGAACACTGACATGAATTAACCTGCAATTAAGAACACGGTTAAGCAAAAACCATGTTCTTAGAAGAAACCGTGGTTCCTCGGGTCCAGGGTTGGGAACGTCTGCTCCGTAGTGTACCTCCCTACACTACAGGTATATTGTCCTGTCTGTAATTGTACTGCTGTACCAATCCAGTGCAAAGTGGAGCAGTACAGTAACAAGGAAGGCACATACTCTGTTCAAACAGCCAGGTTCACTTTCACTTGACGTGTACGAGAGACTCCAAGGATATTCCAGACATCATACAGTCTTGTCGCCGAGAGCTGCTTCACTTCTGTCAGTGCTGATACCGCTGTGTGCACAGAAGCAACTCGGCTCAAACAAGTGGACTTTTCAGAGGAAACTGTTTGATTGTTCAGGTACCCCTAAAAACAAGTACCCCTAGTTCTTAGGGGTACAGCTTAGGAAAGGGGAGAAACTAAAAGAAAAAACATTACCTAAAAAATGGCATGAACTTCCATACCTCTCTGAAGAAATAGAAGCCACAAAAGAACCAAAATTATATAAGGGAACAAGTGGAAATTAGCTGTACGTTAATTTAGGAGACACAGTGGGAGATCCTGTTCTGTCGGGCAAACTACAGTCATGTTATTAAACCTGATTCCCTGAGACTTTTCAGAAATAACTATTTAAGTTATTTATGAATATTCATAGCAATATTCCTGATCTTCCACCATCTTCTCAAGCCATTTGCTAAAATAATTGTTCTAATTTTGTGTGTCCTGCAATTACCCTGCATTTCCATACATGAAATGATGGGTTGATAGTATATGAATGAGTACTGCATGAAAGGGAAAAGTTCTTTAACTTATTTAGACAGTGGTAAAGTACTTTCAATGTATTACTTCCAGCAATGATGTTGACATGGAGATGGATCACTATAGCAACGGGGTGTCGGAATCCTCATCCAATGGCTTTCTGAACGGCGGCTCCAAACACGATCTCGAAATGGAGGACTGCGAGTCTGAGATGGGTAAGGCAACATTTATCTAGTGTTTATAATGGATACCAGAGGGAGAATTCTGTAAAGGAAGGTCCGTTTCAAACAATGTTATACAAAAGAACGCTGATGTTAGAAATATTGTTAGGTTTTAGGAAAAAGTAGTAGGATCCCTAAGTGGTGAAATCCCTCTTGTGAAAGAATTCTTGTTTTGCTCCAGGATATCATCAGATGTGTCAAATCAGGCTGCTAAGATCATTTGTATTCTAAGTATGTATTTATTTGTATTATAAGAATATAATACAAACCTAAGCATAAAAATACTACAATAATTAAGGAAAAACTATTTGTTATTCATCATGTGACTTTTCTTTTACGTGCACATATGTATTCAATGCAACAAGAACTTTCCAATCCTCTGCAGTTAAACAGCTTTAAAAGTGATTCAGCTTAGCCTTCTTATTGGAGAAGTTAACATTCACAACATTCATCAGAAAGAGTCGGCAAAATTACCTGTACGAAAGCAGGGAAACATCAGTGGACTGGTCAAGCTGTAAGGGAACTGCAAAAACATGGGACAGGTTTGTCTGGCATCTTGCACGGCCTTCAGGCTGTTCTGTCTGTAGCAAAGACAGACGTTTGAAAAGAAGAAAGTCTATAGAATGTGGGGAAACTAGGCCCCTGGCAGCAGTTCTTTACATGGGTACCCAGCTGAGCTCTGCCATATTAACCAACACCCAAAGCGTGCTTCAGTATTAGACAAACTCCCTCGCCAGTGGTCAGTGTGAGATGAGGCGCAGGCCTGTTCGCTAACCGCGGTGCCCTGTCTGGGACAGAGGTGGACTCCACCCAGTTGCGGCGGCAGCTGTGCGGCGGGAGCCAGGCAGCCATCGAGAGGATGATCCACTTCGGCCGGGAGCTGCAGAGCATGAGCGAACGGCTCAGGAGAGAGTGTGGGAAAAACTCTGCCAACAAGAAGATGCTGAAGGTGAGAATCGGGTCGCTTTACAGTACCCCTGTAGCACAGCTCCATATGTGGGTGCAGCTGGAATGATAATTGGACAGACTCTCAGGTTTCAGCACTCGGGTCTGTTGGATTTAATCTGATGTTTGAAATGTACTGGGCACTCGAGCCGTAGTGAAAAGGGTAAGTCTGGGGGTCAGTGAAGTAAATTTGGTCATTTTTGCTGTGTACTAGAAATTTGTATTTCAGATCAAATGATACCTTTATTTTTTTGTCTTTACCAGAGTCTTAGGAAATCTTTGTACTCAAGCAGGGTATAGTCTTATCCTCATTTTTAGAACCAAGCAATATAATGATACTAGTGTAACATTCTATAACGACCCGTGTGCACAAATTGGACAGGTTGGATCTTAGCACTGTGCAACCCGGATTTGGCTGGGTCAGCTGCCAGTCTCCACCAGCCCCCTTCACCAGACTCCAGGGGCACTAGGGAACTAGAAAACCCACTCAAGTTTGGTTTGTTTTATCCATTCAACACTTTTTGGCCGAAAAAATCGCAAAACAACACATACAGCTGGGCCCCCCTTCACCCACCACTGGAGAGTGCATCAGCCAGCTAGGTGGCATACTCCAGTCATTATTTTACTGGTTAAAAAGATAAAAACACAATTTTACAAAAGAATAAATGAAGAACTTCTAGTTTCTCTGCTTTTGCCAGCTCCTTGGATGGTCTTCTTAGTAGTTTTGCCTATGGTCTGTTGTCTGGTCTCTTGTTTTTCCCGCACTGCCTGACTCTCAGTTCTGGGGGCCCCTGTCACCGAGTCCAGGCATCTCTGGTCGTTTCCTGGCTACCTCACACCCCTGGTCAGTGGCAGGACACGTTTTAATAGAAAGGAGTGCAGTCAAGTATCAGGAACGTAAGGACTGACCCCTCCCTACTCTCAGACAGCAGTTTGGCTGACTGCCTGTCACAGCCCACTATACCACGTATCAGTGGGAAAAGTGAGAAATTGCTTCACTGTCTGAATAATGGTCTAGCTTTAAGTAGGCCAGATTCTGCAAGCAATTCTACACGTTGTCAGGATGTCATAGGAAGGATGGCATTCCCCGCAGTACAGAGCCCTCTTCCAAAGTGAATGACCCACTAATGTGACAATTCTGGCCCAGGGTGAAGAGTAACGCTTAGTAGTCTGCCAACACGTACAGGAACAGCATGGTTTCCCCTGGAGGTCTCACTCCCGGTACTGACCAGCTCTAGCCTCGCTTAGCCTTTTGAGATCTGAGGAAACCAGGCTAGAACAAGCTACCACTCCTATCAGAGGTTGTTTAGGTCTGTGATGATCCAATTCTAAGAAAATAGGGTATAAAAATCTGGAATATAAACCATGTACGAATTGTGTTATGCTTTTCTTTGTCCAAAATGCTTGACTTCTGAAAAAACCTGACTTTTATTTTTGTAGGATGCATTCAGTTTGCTTGCCTACTCAGATCCATGGAATAGCCCAGTAGGATATCAGCTACTCTCAATACAGAGAGAACCAGTGTGTTCCACTCTCAACAGTGCAATATTAGGTAAGTGGGTACTATACTTGTTTTTCTGCAAATAAGGAAAACATTTTAGCCAAGCGCTTCTTCTGCAGTAGTCTAAGTAGTATATTTTGGATTTAGAAAAGATAACAGGGTTTTGGATACTGTTGGACCTATACTAAATATTTTGCGAGTATGTATTTTTTCAAGTATGACGTCTTACAACCTAGGGGTCAGATATGTAAAACTAACAACAATATTAGTGCCAGTTTAGCAGCAATTATACTGTATGTGACCTGTTCTAATTATGGCATATTGCAGCATAGAAATTCAACCTGCCAGCAGCCAATGCAGTTAATAGCTATTTTTTTAATGTGGCTAATCACTTTTCAGCATTTTCTTGCATTTCTTAATGTATATGTGCCAAGTTAAACCTCTCGTGCTTTGTGGAATATAGCATGTCAAATACACCACTTGAGTTTACCGGAGACCACAAAGTTTAATGTAAAGAAACTTATTATAAATAAGTAGGCCCAGAATGTCATGGTAGTGTCTGCAGTATAAATATTACCTTGTGCATCAGGCCCTGCTGGGTTTAAACTGGATATTATGGCGGACATATTGCTTCATCAGTAATCATCAGTGGAGGATGGTGTTTTATGTAAACTTGAAATAAATACAGCTCAGTATGTATTCAATCAGGATTTTTATTTGATAAAGATTCCTGAATAATTCTGGTGTTGGAGGGTCCTCAACTGTCTGTGGACAATGAACAGTTTTTCCTTTGGTTTGTTGATGAACCAGACAGTGATCATGCAGACACTGAGGTACCATATTATATCTAATACGAGGACCATGTAATATCAGACTGTATTGAGAGAAAATTAACTTGCTGTACTCCATGACATTTGAAAGATTAGAGGGTTAGATGGACATATCAGAAGGTGCATCCAGTTGGCTGTATGAATAAATGCCCACATCTCACAAGTTTTCCCTAATCCTGCCGCTTGTCTCTGTGCTCCATCTTTTCCAGAGACTCACAATCTTCCCAAGCAGCCTCCTCTGGCTCAGGCGATCGGCCAGGCCACTCAGTGTCTGGCCCTGATGGCGCGCTCTGGGAGTGGCTCCTGTGCTTTCGCCTCAGTGGAAGACTATCTGCACTAGCTATGCAACCTGGAAGACGTCACAGGCACGCTCCATCGACACGTGTGATTCAACCTTAGGGACATTGAAACCAACAAGACGTCTCGCTATTGAGATGCCCTTGTTTTGTTTTTTGTTTTTGTTTTTTAATTACTTACCTACTGGGGACAGGTTCTGATTGTCACTTCTGTTTCCTAGTTTACAAGGCATGGTGCAAATTACAAATATTGTTACTATTCCTATTAATATCATTTGCCTAACTTGCATATGAACGTTTGTTCTCCGTGTGAGAACTGGCAGGTGAGCATTAAAGGGCTCACTGCCCCCTTAAAATCACATCCCTATTAGTCACGTGGTGTTCCAAGAACAATTGTTTTATATGACCATATGCATATATACGTTAAATACGGCATATGCGTATGTGTATATATATAAATATATATTTAAGAACTTAATTGAATTATATTAACAAGAAAAGTTTAAAATATTTAGCTACCAAAAATAAGAAAACCAAAAAAAAAATTTATTATAGGAAGACGCAGTCTTTTGTGGGGAAAATTTGAATCAATATTCAGTGTAATGCAAGCCTGTATAGGGAGGTAGCACTGATTGATTTAGGACTTTTTTTTCTCCTGTTTCTGCACCTCCCAAACAGCACAAACACCTGGTACAGGTTTGAAATGTGGCTTTAGATTTTTTGTTTTTAACTTTGTATTCTTTTCAAAGCTTGTCCTCGTACCTTGAATAACTCAGGAGCTGAATGCGATCGTTCATCACTGCTGAAGACTTCCCTGACCTGTCCAGCACCCAGTAGATTTGTTTTTGACATTTCTCCTTTTGATTTTTCCACCCGACTCGGATCTTGGCAGACCATTCCATTGTACACTCACCCTTGTAAAAAGTTAACAGTATTGTCAACAACACTGTGTGGTAATGACATTTACAATAAAAAAACCAAATATTTAGGAAGAAAATGTCTTAAACTTTGTACGTCCTCTGCATTTTTAAAAATGCTTGAACGACTACTTCTACTTGCAATAAAGAAAGTGTATCAAACAATTAACCAGCTATTAAAATTTACTTCCACAGATGAATCTGTAATTACCATACACAACTGTCCCATTTTATTAAACAGCCTTCCTGCAGAGATGTTACCATACCTTGTTTGCACGTCTTCTATATTTTTTTCTTCCGTTTTGGTATGGCACACGATTCATTTTCATAATTAGTTATTAAAAAAGGCCTTATTTCCCCAAATTTGACATCTCTTCTGCTCGCTTTATATGCAGAAAGACTTTTTAGCACATTTTACATTGTATTCTGTTGGTGAAAAGCAGAATCTAATGTGTGGATGCTTTTTCTTTATCTCAGGAAGTTAGGAGTTTGGCTGGATTACTACTGGGTGCCTGTAATGTGGGGCAAGACTCCTTTGAGGAAAGATGTTGTACTGTCCGATGACCCACACTTAAGGCAAGTCAACAGCTACCTCTAGCTCTGAGGCTTATTTCGTGTTATCCCCAGGAAAGGAGAAGGGAAAGTTTTCCTAGGGCTTTCAATGACACCCTTAAAACATTCAGAAATGATATTTTTAGACTTTTCTGACAATTAATCCTGACCACATTGTCTGTACCTGGTTATATAAGTTATATTTAACCATTATATTTGTTGTCTTGCAACATAACAATGGATATTCAGCACACTCCAGGACCTCGGTGCCTCTCATCATTCTAAAACATGCTGTAGTTGGGACACCATGAAGTTCAGCCACCACAGAGTTTGTAGTTTGAATCTGGTTTAGAAGTATTACTTTAAAGGGACCTTCACATGGCCTGACTTGACCTCGTCAGTGGATTTAATAGTCGCATGTGTTAAGAACCCCATTTTTAAAAAAGAAAAACTGCAGTGAGCCTTTTAATGTTCACAGATTCTTGGATCTTATAAGCTTGAGTTTTAAAATAGGCTAGAGCTGCTCATTGACAGTCTCAGCCTAGTTCTGCAGGACTCTATTTTACAGCATGGAATTAAAAAAAGAAACTTCAATGTTTTGTAATAAAGCTTTTGAATACTCTTTTCAGCCCATGTCACTCATTCCATCTCACTGAGCCCTTCTCAAGAAATCTACTTAAACTGGCTAGGTGTTTACTGTCTCATTTACTGATCTGAGTGGTGCATTTATCGCAACACCTTTCGAACTGCATGCCATTTAGATTAAAGCTGATGTTTAAGGCTGGGGTATTTCAGATCAAGTTGTTCTTATATCTGCACTTCAAATGACAAGCTTTAGAAAGTGCATTTAAAACAAATGTAGGATACTGGAATGTAGACCCAGCCCCCATCCCATAAAAATAATAAAATATTAACCCTATCTATTGGAATCTGCATTAACAGTATTGAGCATGCTCTCCTGTGCCATTTTGCACTCATTTTGATGAATTACTACAGTACATCTGTTATTACCCCAGGTTAAAATAATTACAGGGAGCCCTGCTACAGCAACCTGAATTAAAGGCACCCAGATAGGATTTGAAATAAGGGAAACTTCTTTATTTTTTCAAGGTTTGGATTCATTAATCATAATGTTGTACCAGTGCTGTCATAATGGGTTTTGGTGTGTAGAGTACAAAGCAATTTCCAGATGTAACATCTTGAAAATGCATGGGCTGCAAAATCATATTTTCCATACTTTTCATTATTGATAATGAAAGTGATAAAACAATGCACAAGGTTTTGCGTGTTCTTATGTGCTACAAGAATGTAATTCATAACCTTCTTCTTAAATGATTCCATTCAATATCTTTTATTCTGGATATAACCAAAATTCCATAATTTTCCTGGGCTAAAGTACACTAACCCTGAGTTATGTTTAATGTAAATCACACATTTATTGGTTATGGGAAACATGAGGCAGTTAGTTTAATATCACAGTGTCCATCTGCTTTTAGTTTTCAAGGCTGTGAATCATTTTTCTAATGTTAAACAATTTGCAACCATGCAATGAAGTGTTATACACTCTAACTTAAATTGGCTTCATTACTAAACTATTCTCCTGATAGCTGATGAGTGAGTGTACTGGCAGGCTAAAGCTGTTCTCTCATCATTCATTCCATCCATGTGGTGCTATACCTTGGTGGTGATCGAGAGTCCCCACTGAATGAAGCGCTGTGAATAGGGTGTCCAGGAAAGTGTGATTTAAGTAAGGCATTATTCATCTAAGCATAATGTTCAAACCTGTGTTTGATTTAATAAGTCTGCAACCCATTAAGCTCATCAAATTCTTTGTGGAATCAGGTGAGATGCTTTGCTGTGAGCATATACTTCTACAAAGTTAGTTTTGTTCCAATATGAAAGAGCAGATGAATACAATGCATATTGTATTAATACTAATCTGATATTCACAAATGTAAAATGCATAACTAAAAAATGTTTTCATTGCAATCACAATAGTTTTTTAGTCACCATAACCAAAACTCTTTAAAAAAACCCATGCTCTGTGATGCAATCAAAAAAGCCTGCTAAATGTTTTTAATTCTAACTTTGTTGCCTTTTGGTTGATGGGTAAAAAAAATATTTTGTAATTTTTAATTTATGTATTGAACTGTCATATGTGGAATCCTCATGTAAAATTCTCACAGTGCTCACTCCTGAATTAAATATTGTATGTATACACTGCTTTCACAGTTGCATTAAAAAAAACTCAACATTTTAACAACCTTACTTGAAAAGAAAGCTTTAAAAGAAATCGGTTGACCCTTTTCAGGTACCGAGAATTCCCATAGATCCTCAAGTCAAGGCTTCAAGTGAGCAGCAGATCTTGGCAGAGTTAGTGAAAAGTCTGTTCAACCCACAGTTCTTCAGCAGATCAGGATATAAAAAGTGGGAATAGCTCTTCAGTGCAACTTTGTCTTTACTCAGTTGGCCTCTGCTCTCTGCTTGTGAATCCACCTCTTTTTAAACAATTCTGCTTTCCCTTTCTCCTTGGAATCTACAAAAGACAAGATGAGACACTTGAGCTCTTTCTTCTGTTCCTGCAAGTGACAACAGGACTGCCTCTGCAGTGTAAACCACAAAATTTAAGATTGCTTTTAAGAGCATCAAGGGGTACACACTTTCACAATGCAGATATTCAGGAAAAATCAAGACATCAAGGTTTTCAAAAGAGTTACATAAAACTATGACTTGTCTTACAGTCGTTTGTATTACTCTTACTTTATTGCATTTAACATTCATCTAAAACATTAGAATATGTAGGAAACAGTCACACCTGCAGTGCTTTGATACTGTAATTGAAACTTGAATACTGGCTTGTTTTTTTCATCCCACATTTTCAAAAGTGTTAAAAAAGTACTAACCTCTGTAAAGGTGCAGTCTGCACATTCTTCTACAAAAGCTCATCACAATTCCATTCACGCCCAAACATTTTTACCCTTTGGACAGCTGAATTTGCAGTGGCAGTGCAATTATGTGTATCCTAATAACATTCATTTCTGTATTATGAATAGCAAAGTGGTTCATTTTAAACCTAAAGGCTATGAAGGTAAGTTAGGAAGCTTTCAATCTCACAACTAATGCTCAACTTTGTCATTAGCCTGTGTTAAGTGTTCCCTCCTCCCTGTGAGAAGACTCACTGCATACATCAGATTAGATGTTTTGTATACTTCTGCATGAACCAGCTGAAGAATTACATGCACAAACGCCAAGTAAAGATGATTTCTGTATGCCAGTCCTGCAACAGTACTCCATATTTATTAGCTTACCCCACTGCTTGTCGATGAACTGCACAGCTGCCCTTTTGTTCTTCGCAGTCTTATTTTGGAGAGAAAGGAGCTGGTTTGCTATAAGAGTACAAAACAAGCAGGTTGGTCTCAGCAACATGATTAGAGTTTCTAGATTAATTAGCTATCTGATGTTAAATCACATAGCCCAGTGGTTTCAAATCCAAATCATGAAAAAAGCTACTCCTCACCAGAAAGGTTTAGGACTTGCCTGCAAATTATTAAGAAGTTAAATACTTCTTGTGTTACCTTAACATACCCTGTACCAGACTCGTTTATGCTAATTAAGCTATTATGACAAGTGCAAAATGCAAAAGCATAAGTTAAAGCAAAATAAGGAGCTAAATTATATAACAGGACTGAAATGGATCTTAAAAAGGTTCAGGGAACACAGTCATTTGTCAAATGCATTCAGATTACAAATCAATCGCTATTGTAATAAGAAACTAAAATTGTTTCTTAAATCAACAGATGTGTGTCAACGTTAAAAAGTTACCACAAGATTAGTTAAAGGAACAGCAAGGGATCCGTTTTAAACACCTGAGAGCAAAAAAAGTAAGAACATCCTATTAACATGTTCTTGACATCGCATCCATGTAATTTTTAAGGCTGTCAACCCAAACATGGGGCCTCCCACCAGGATGTGTTGCTACAATGTAGTATGGCTTCCTCCCTGCACTTGATTGAGTGGAACTCGTACTTTTGTGCAGAGGAAGGAAAAGCACTGATGCAGAGAAAAAGTCCAACTTACTTGTGGTTCTGTTGCTTCCTGAGCCATACAGCCGGGATGTGATGAAATCACAGGCACTTGTTTGCTGTGCTTTTGCCAGAGAATGATCCTTAACCCTCTGGACTTTGTAGTTTTGTTTCATTCTGAGGTGTCAAAAAGACATTTACAGTTACTAACAGGATGATGGTTGAAAAGCATTCTTCCAGTTATAAGCCTCTAAATTGTAACATGGATTGTATGTTAGACATGCTTTACTCTTCCTTAAACATACAGAAACATTGTTTTAGAATACTACCATTTCTGTAGCACCCGTGCAAGGGAAAAATGATTTTTTTCTGTTTCTTTTACAGTTTGTAATACAAGCGCATGGTGATTTTATTACCTGCATTGCTCATTTTGCTCCACCTCTGTGTCCTCTTCCTCAAACTGCCTGCTCTCTCCATCCTCTGGGCCGATGTCCTCCTCACCTTCCTCTCCACTTTCGTCATGCTCTAGGAACATGAAATTAATGGAGTTCATTCCATGGGATGTAAAGAGCAACGCAGATTACAGAGATACCTCTTATTGTTTTTGGTTCTTTCATTTCCGTTCCACACTTGAATGCCCTATCATACTTTAAGTTCTCCCCCATGTTAAAGGGTTAAATGCCAGTAAAGCTTCACTTGTACAATATATCTGGAAGAACAAAAGTCAATCGCCCCTGCGTTAGGGCTTAATTGCTGTGAAATCAAAGTTAATGTGCAGAGCTCCAGCAGAACAGCTCTCAGACAGACAGTAGAGGAACGTGTGTGAATATTGCCTTTTGAAACTCAAAATATTAGATTTTCTACTGGCCATGATTAGGAACTCCACCGAAAAACATATTGGACCTCTTCAGGCAGAAACATCATGCAAGACAGGAATACAGCAGTATCGTCACAAGGTTTTGAGATATGTATAAGGGCTGCTTTCAGCTGAAATTGGGAATAGGTAGTTGTGCTTGGGACTGACTTGTGTATTTCACCAGTTCCTCAAGATTTCAAAGGAATTAAAGTCCCTCTTTTGGATGAGAAGGCAATGCAAATCTCGACTCAACCACATGTTCTGCCACTGAGACATAAGGTATTCTGGGGGCTCCTAATATTTTGGCCAGTTAGTAAAAGTACTCTAGCAGTGTCAGTATTTATACTGAACCATGAAATTAAAAAGTGTTTCCTATTTTTATGGCACACTAGAATTAAAAAAATCTGTTTCATCCACTTGAGATATGAATTCACACATAAACAGATGTAGAGGAAGCAAGTGACGCTTAACATACCTTGCACTTCTGATGTCTTGGGCTTTCTAAAGGGTAAGGAAAAAAGGTTTATATTGTAGGCGGGGAAAAAAATGAATTGGATAAGGTTTATTCAGTATTTCATTGACTAGAAAAGATAAAAAGAAAAGCTAACTGCTGCTGAATCAGTTTGGTAACTGGCTCCTCAAAAAAAAAAAACAAGAGAGAACACTCAGGAGCCAAACAGACTTGTCATTTGATTTTCAGTAACACCAGACTGTTTTCTGTAAGGATTACTGTATGATACTGAATTGCATAGCTTGTTGCAATACTTTTCATGTGAGGTTAATGAACATTTACATACTGTATACAGCAGTATATATGCAAAAATACTGTTACATTTATATTTGCTGCTATCATTTAGAGGCAGACAAGATTTGTATATTTGCATATGTATATATATAGCATATATATAGTTTATGAAATGATGGTTGTTATCAGCTTACTTAAGTGTTGGTCTATGAATGTACAACGGGAATATTTTCTCACCCAGGGACAGAGGATTCAATTTCTTCTAGCACATCTTCAGGAAGAAGTTTTCTTTTCTATCAGGGGGTTTAAACATAAGAAGGAGTCACCAACAATTACCTGAACATACGTATAATAAAACATCATAGCCAAAGACTTGATAGTTTGGGTGGGTCTGATATAATGTTTAGGGATGTCCATCCCACCACAACACATCCATGGAGAATTTCAGTACCTAATAATTTTGTGTTTCTGTTAAACATCCCTGATATAAATTTAATTAACATTTGAATTCAAATTAAAATTCAGTTCCTTCTCCCACAAAGTAACCTAATTTAACAAGGTTGTGAAGAGAATAAGTATGTAAACAGTTAAAACCCATAATTTTGCATCAACAAAGTACCTTTCTTTCTCAATTACCTGGATTCTGGGAATGGAATATAGTTAATACTGTATCCCACTACTTTTGTGTATATATATATATGTCTGTAAATGTTGCAATGAAAAACCTGATTGTCAAAACCCGATTATTATACATTTATCAACAAATTAGTTGTTATGGACAACATTTTAAATAAGCTTTGTACTACTGTGCTGCTATATATTGGTCAGAACTTAAATTGTGGAAAATTAAGTCAGAAAGATTGAAACGAAAAAAATAAAATTTGTTTTTTAGAATGTACTAAACTGTACACAGATAGCAGTGGAAATTCTTATAAATACTGGCATCAATCCTTAAACTTCTCAGATTCACATTTTTTTAATACTGTGTATCAACAATCGGCTCATTGTGGCTTCAAATCCCCAAGTTTAAGATGGGAAAGCATCACTAAAAAAATTCAGGAATATTGAAACACCCCCTGTCAAATATACACTGTACCTTCTGTTCCTTAAAGAGCTCCTGTCTCTCCCTTCGCTTTTGTTTCAGCTTCTCCTTGTCTCTTTAAATGAAATTTAAAGCAGCGTTAACCGACATGAAATAGCGATCTGCAAAGCAAATGGGGCAAATATGCAGGATCTCTTCCCACATTTTCCGTACTTCAATATATCGTCCCACAACAATCAAGCTAGACCGTAGACGACTTCATAATTAGTCCACTACAGTTAATGACTTATTTTATATCTACATACACTGCTGTACGCATTTGTTTCAATATTATTATCTTTCCTTTTGAACACAGTCTACAATCCTATTTTGTACAACTCGTCTGGGTAGCGTTGTAAATTTTAATTCACTCTTTAAAACACACACACATTTAAATTTTTTTTAAAAAAATCACGTTCTGCCTCTGCTAAGGTTAAACGTTAATTTAGACGGGCAAATGTCAAATTTAATGTGTTGACCAAAAATGTATCATATAATAATAGCACCTCCTGACACTCTCGATAGCATTTCTCACTCTCTGCTCAGCGACGGCTTTGGCTGCTTCAAAGGTTACTTCTTCTGGAGCTTCTTCGTCCTCGTCACCACTTGACTCGGCTACCAAATTCAGCATTTCCTTCTCTGAAACCTTTCTAGTCCTCACTTTCGCCGAAGAAGCACCCACCGCTCCACGCTTTTTCTTCGCCATCTTTAAAATTTGAGTTCACAAAGTCACCTTTAACCCCTCAAAAAAGACTATGTAATGCCCCATACAAGGACGCAGAAACGTGCATCGCCCCATGTGGCTTGGATGATTTATAACAAAAACCACTTGATTTAGTTTACTGCACGTTCACATGGAAAATTTCGCGTGTCTCTTGCTGATATACATTACATGACACATTACATGAATTGTTCCAGATAAATATTATCTTCAGATTAAGAGTACAATAAAAAAAAGTTGACGAAAAGTGTGACAAATTAACACAATCTCTCATGATCTCAACATAATAAGTATTAGCATATTTAATACTACTACTACTACTACTACTACTACTACTACTACTACTACTAATAATAATAATAATAATAATAATAATAATAATAATAATTGCTTACACTTATATAGCGCTTTTCTGGACACTCCACTCAAAGCGCTTTACAGGTAATGGGGATCCCCTCCACCACCACCACCAATGCGCAGCATCCAGCATATGTACAAACATATTTGTTATTTTCTATTCCCAGGTCCCATGTTTGTGATGACAGATAGCTGTGCAAACATGCATAGGCCTTTACAAGACATCACATTGCTAATGAATTTAGTTAGCTGGGTTGATAAAAATAAAAAACGAAATGCTATATTTATGAATAGTGAGCAAAACAGTTTTGTGAGAGGTTATAAATCTAAGGAGCAGAGTTACACTGAGAACTGTATGACTATTAAAACAGGAAAATTAGAAACTGAGATTGGAAGTCAGAATCTAGTACTCTTTGCAAATATGATATTAGAGCTGATGTGCTTGCAAAGTGCCCAGCAAAATCTTCAGTAAGCTGACCAGCTATTTCTGATCATATATTCATTCATTCAGCTACCTGGTAGACACTTTGATCCCACTTAACCCACTTGGTCTATTCTAGGTTTATTTTAAAATAGGGGTATAAAATAATACAACCTTTTTGCATTGTAGAATTTAATAATAATAATAATAATAATAATAATAATAATAATCATAATCATAATGCTATAAAAAGATAATTTTATTTTGTTAGTTTTGGAACAACTAGTTAGAACAAAAATTTTAAACAAAATATGAGAAAGTTTCAAAAGGTAAAGGCAACTTGTAAATAAGTGTGTGATGGACTGGAATACACATTTCTGTTAGTTTCTCAACACATTCTTTCCAATGACACACAAGTGTCTGGATGTTTTCCTGGTTGAAGAATTTTCATTCTGCCACATGGGCACCAGCTGTTGGATCTTGTGATCACTGCCAAATTCCTAGCTTCAGAGAGTATGTTTAAGGCTACTGAAGTGGTGAAAGTTGGGTTAAGAGAGATCTGGACTGCCGTAAACTTTAAGTACAGAATGTTCAAAGTATCAGAAGACACAGAAATACAAAGTGGTAGTAGTTCAGGTGGGTAGCTGCGTCAACATGCGTAGGCTGCAAAGGAACAAGTAATAGGTTTATTCCATGCTGAAAAAAAGAAGAAAGAGACAGACGACTGTTCTTTTAAATTTTCTCCATTCATTGGAAGTTTCATTTCACACCTCTCTACACCCATTCTGACTTCACACCTCTTGATTGGCCTCTGTTTCTGTCCCCTGCTCCCGCCTCTCACTCCTCCTCCCTCCCAACCTTTGTTCTCCCGCTACTTTACCTTTGCCTACTGCCCTGTCTCTCTCACACCTGAAGAAGGCTCCACGGCCGAAACGTTGTGTTCTCTTTCTTCTTTTTTTCAGCATGGAATAAACCTATTACTTGTTCCTTTGCGAAATACAAAGTGGTCTGTTATTGCCCTGCTGCAGCAGAACACCTCTCTTGACATCCTACTGCTGTTTTCTACACAGGTTAATCAGAACAGCTGGTTTCAGCTGGTTCTCATGCACATCACAGGGTGCGGTTCTGGTGACCATGAGTCCAATCTCCAGAAAAAAAAGCGAGGACTGGTGACTGGGTGCCCATCCGCACTCCAAACAAACTGCAACTGCATTCTCTCCACAGGCAGGACTGTCCCACTATATTACACCTTTCCTGGAAACCCTGAGAGATGGTCTCTGAGATAAGGAATTGCAAATAATAATAACAACAATCATGATAATAATAATTCAATAAACGTTCATAGGGCTTTTCTGGATACTCCTCTCAAAACAGTTTTCAGGTAATGGGGACTCCTCTCCACTACCACCAAAGTTTAGCACCCACTTGGAAGATGTAATGACAGCCGAAGTGTGCCAGAAAACACACCATACATCAGCTATCAGTGGGGAGAAGAACAGAGTGATGAAGATAATTCTTTGTTGGGGTTTATTAGGAATAAAATAATGTCTCCATTAATATACTGGGACATTAGGAACCACACAGACCACTGGATGACTGCCCCCTACTAACCCCACTAACACCTCTTCCAGCAGCATACCTAGTTTTTTCCAGGAGGTCTCTCATCCAGGGACTGACCATGGTCACATCTGCTTAGCTTCAGTGGGTTAGCAGTTGCAAGTGCAGGGTAGTATAGCTGTTAGCTTAAAGTGGTTGTGATCACATTTAAGTGGCAAGCGATCATGAAGTCAAACAGTATGTGCTCACGCAGCAGCTAAGAGGTTCCTACTCTGATTCTATCAAGAAATGGGTAAACTGCTTGAAAGCCAGCTTATGCCAGTTTATGCCAGTGTATTGCTTATACCAGCAGCCATATCACTCTGCAACTCACAACTGGCAACCCACTGAAGCTAAGCAGGTGTGAGCCTGATCAGTACCTGGAAGAGAGACTTCCTGGGAAAAACAAAGGTTGCTGCTGGAAGAGGTGTTAGTGGGGCCAGCAGGAGGCGCTCACCCTGCGGTCCATGTGGGTCCTTATGCCCCAGTATAGTGATGGGGACACTGTACTGTAAAAAGGCGCTGTCCTGCGGATGACATGTAAAACCGAGGTCCTGTCTCTCTGTGGTCATTAAAAATCCCAGGGCCTTTCTCGAAAAGAGTAGGGGTGTAACCCCAACGTCCTGGCCAAATTTCCAATTGGCATTTCCCAATTATGGCCTCCTAATAATCAACATCAATGAATTGGCTTCATTACTCTGCTCTCCTCCCCACTGATAGCTGATCTGTGGGGAGCGTTCTGGCGCACTTTGGCTGCCATCGCATCATCCAGGTGGGGGTGCACATTGGTGGTGGTGGAGAGGAGTCCCCATTACCTATAAAGCGCTTTAAGTGTAAGTTATTATTATTATTATTATAAAGCATTTTCAGCTTGATGCAGTTCGACCCGGTTATTTGCATTAATTATTTTTGTTTTTTGAACATCCATATTCAGTTACTAAATAATTCAATGTAGTACTGCAACAAGTATGGCACTGCTGTGGACAATAGAGGAAACCAAAGCTGACAACATTTCCAACAAAATCCTGCTGGGGAAAAAATGTTGATCAGATGTTTCTAAGATTAACCTACAAATTCATTATGAATACTGACTGAATTGTCCATTCTTCTGAATTGTCCGTGCTTTTGTAAAGAGTTCTTTATTAACATGTCTAGCATGTATTGCCACCTGTGGTCTGTAGGCCTCAAAACTGCAATGCAATAAGAGTGCAAAGGAGCAATGATGGGCATTTCCGCAAGCAAGTAAAAGATGGAATGATTGTTTTGCAAATTTTCTTCACTGACAACAGGGTGTTTTTGCAACTTGGAGTAATGCTAAAAAAAGATGTATTGTTAAGCTGTTATTGGGGCTTTGTCTGGTTTAAACTGTTCTTATTGCATGTTGGAAAAGCCTGAGCTATACAAGTGGTCATACTCACTGCTGAGGCAGTTATGCTCATGCTAATAATAAAGTCATGAAGAATATATTTGATTAATTTTTGTTTGTCTGTTACAGTAAAACTGTTGCAGTAAAACCTCCTTAGGACGGCAGTGTGCTTTATTGAATCCTGCTGAACGTCCCTCTTGCACTTTATATTATATGATTATATTAATGAAACCATAACCAAAACTAAGTGAACCTGTGCTAAAAAAGGTTTGAACATCTTTTTACTGTGGCTTTTGTGAGTTCCACAGGAGTTATCAGCTCCACCCCTGTCTACCTCATTATTGAAGCGGTATCTAAAATGAGAATATGTAAACCAACACACTTCCTCCTTTCTGTTGTTGAGTTCATCCACTGAGAAGGACAGACTGGTCTCCACAATTCTCTTGGTTTTTTATCCTCCTTGTAACACTCATTGGATAACATAACTACTAAGGTGAGCTTTTATTCCGTTTTATTTATCTTTGTCTTGTTCTTACACAAAAATAACAACTCCAAGTTTGTACCAGGAAACAGCAGATGGATGTTGCTACTGTGCTCTTAAGATACTTTGCTGAGGCAAATTAGTGGTCTTTGCTGGTAAATGACACTGCACAATATGAGACCACAATACAATAATTTATAATGTAATGATCAGAAGCATAGGATTCAAAGATGATCATTAAATGACATTAAAAGACAAAACACAAACAGGAAGTTAGAATTTGAATCACAGAATGTCAGTTAAAGCCTGTTTAATAGCTATAATTTAACCATCAGAAGTATGCTGTGTGGTACATTTTAAGTATAGACTCTTTGGACATTTCAGGATATTCGTTTTTTATTTGTTTAGTTATTTAGATATTATTAGTTTAATATTGGGCTGAACAGTGACACAATGGTTAGCATGGCTGCCTGGCTGGGCCCGGGGTTTAATTCCTGGGGTGCTATCTGTGTGAAGGTTGTATGTTCTTCCTGTGATGGGTTTTGCTGGGTGCTACAGTTTCCTCCCACAGTCTAAAGATATACTGATAGGTTAATTGGCTTTCAGGAAAATAGGCCCAGGTGTGAGTCTGTGTGTTTCTGCATGTCTTCCTTGTGATGGAGTGGTGTCCTGTCCAGGGTGTATCCTGCCTTGCGCCCGTTGCTTTCTGGGATAGACTCCGTCTCCCCAGCAACCTTGAAATTAATTGGATAAAATAGTTGAAAAATTGATGGATGGATAGTTTAAATATCAGATGGATGCTTTGTGGTATATTGTAAGCAGAAACTGTAATAGTTGCCGAAACAGGTATAATAGGGAATTATCAATTTAAATTTAAACAAGAACTCTGGCCAAATGTTTCAGACAACACGTCATATCATTGAGCATCAAAAATCTCTCCAAGCTAATAGTTCCATTTTACCTTTCTTGTCTTCGATTCCAGAACTCTTACTAGAGAAACACCAGACCAAAAAACCTATCCTTAAACTAAGTTCACACATTTTCTCACATATCAGTGATGAATGTTTTTTCTTTCTAAATTGCTCCATTCATTTACAGATTTTAAACTTTCAGACTTTACCTAGAATTCACCTCTCAGATTTTGATCTCTTCTGTCTTTCTATCTCTCACCTCCATTTCCCATACTTACATTCTCGGTCCTTATACTGCTTACAAACTCCTTCTTGGGCTCATATCCCTGCTCGCTCCCTCATTCTCCCTCACAGTAGAAAAAGGCTCCTTCTTTCAGTGCGGAACCAGCCTTCTCTTATCCTTGTGCAGCGTACGCAACAACTGTATGTAACTCTGCACTCAAACTGCATATTAGAATTTTGCACACTGACTAAGAAAACAATACGCATGTCTTGTCATCTGCCTCTGTTGCTCATGTTATGTGTAGAAACAAAAGCAGCAGGAACAACTTAACTTTTTTTATACAGGAATTAGGGCATGGGGATTTTAAGTTAAGTGGTGTAAAGGCCTGTGGACTTGGAACACTTTTTATTCTTTCCTATGTTTTACATAATGACTCAATGGAAAACTAAAGATCATCCACCCATCCATTTTCTAACCCCATTTATCCAGTTCAGGACTCTACTGCAAGAAACATGGATACACAGAAATACACCCTGGATGAGCTATCAGCCCATCCCAGGTCGGGCACACAAACACACATCCTGGAACACACATCCTAATACCAGGGCCAATTTTCTCAGGGGCCAATTAACCTACCAGGATGTCTTTGGACTGTGGGAAGAAACCAGACCATCCAGAGGTAACTCATGTGCACACAGGGGTTACGAGCACAGCCGGCACCAATTAACTCCAAATGATTCAATCTTCATTTCATATCCTTTCCAAACTATTTCGCAACTATTTAAACCCTCTACTCACTGCTACTGGTGCTTGGTATTAGGATTTCATCTGCCTCCTGAGCTTGCCTTGCCATCCTTTCCTGAAACCCTCTCTACATTGTCTGGATCTCCTCACCTACCATTCTTTGGCTTTGGACTTCTCGCTACCTCTCTCGTCTCGCCCCTCTAGGATGTGTTTGCCTGACTTCATTCTGACTAACTGGATTTGACCTCGGTTGGAATTACTGACCACTGTCTTCTTTGACTGCTGTCTTGGATACCTTGGCTTTCAGATTGTGCCTCGAGACCTGCACAGGGTTTGTTAACAGCCCGGTGCCAACAGGGAGAACATGCAAGCTCTGTACAGATGGCAGCCCAGGGTCAGAATTGAACCCAGGGTCCCAGTGCTGTATGACAGCAATGCTAACCACTGTGCAGCACACATTAAAAATCAAATGTGTTTTTTTGTACATGTATTACAGTATATCATATTTTGGGTAATTCGCTGTCTTTTGTTCCTGCAGACTACTGAGAAATATTTAGCTATTTTATCCAAGGCTGATTAGAATGGTCAGATTGCCTGAAAAGGCACAAAGAGATGTCATTGTGTCTGTAGTTTAGGACCTCTCTTTTTGTACAAGGTGTAAAGAATACTTTCTTGCCCGCCAATATCTCTGCAATCAAATGGGATCAATTAACCTAATAAAGGCCATTTCTTTTAGTATATGAAGTATTAAAACCATTATATTATCTTTATACTTTTAAATAAAAAGCCCAAAGATAAGAAAAGCAGTGAATCTTTGGCATCTCTTCCAGAATTGCTAAATATATAACATAAGACAGCTCTGGACATTTTTGAAAGTCTGCATGCCCACCTCTTTCCCATTTGAGGGATGGTTACCCAGATGCTTTCTGTAACATAATGAATATTATAATGGAGTGGTAAGAGAAATGTCTTCAGCTGTACTAAATGACTGAATTTGATTTAACTGACTGGCCAGAAAATCACCTTTACTGACAATGTGTTCAAAGAATCCCAGTCGGTTCATTAACACCTGATGGACTACACATATAAGAATCAGTCCAATTAGATTAAGAAACAGAGAAGTGATACAGTTTGTCATATTGACTAATTAGAATAATATACCACTCAGAGCTCATCTTTGTGGTGCAGTATTATTTCCAATTTCAAAAATCTATGAGCTGGGTATTTGTGAAATAGGTAAATTTCCCATATGCATTTAAGTTGATGATATGCAGTTCAAGATATCTATCTGATAACTTCTTCTCTTTCCCAAAACCCATTATGTAGTACAGATCCTGACCAGTAAATTGGAAAGGTTGTCTGTGATTGTGTGTTGGTGGAGGAATTATAGACATGGTCATTCATTTTTTTTTTCAGCAAGACAACAAATACATCTGAGGAAGGCTGAAAAACACGGAAGGAAATATATGAATTATTCCGGTAAGCAAAAACACACTGAAGCCAAATTTTATTTTATATCTTTTTACTGTTCAGATAATGTTCATTTTGTGATTTGGAGAGATTACAGAGGGAAGAATACATTTAGCTAAAGATAACTTTTTTTAATTTCTAGGTTGTTCCCAATGGTCCATTTCTTATTTTACCTCTCAAAGTCCAATTCCTATTATAAATCAGAACCTATTTCAAACGCAAACCCAAAAGGTGATTAAAAATAATTCAGAGTGAAATCAAACAGCACCACCAATATAAAAGTAAGTGTATAAGTGAAGCATGCCCTTCACTTATTCAGAATAATAAAGGATAACATTACAGTCTAGTTTGTCAAGAAAAGTTAGGATAATTCTGTGAACCTGGGAGAAAACATTTTTAAAGATGAAGTTGTGAGAAGGGCATCTAAATATAATTTCTGACTACAAATCATGGGTTATTGTGATATTTTCATGTAATCAAAAATACATACTACAGTATGTAGTCCTGCAGGCAGAACAAAACACAAATAGCTCCATGATAGGCTGCTGCTTCTGCATTTGTTTTTTTTAAACTACTGTACTATCCCCCTGTTCTGCATGTAAGCTCTGAAAAAATGATAATGCCTCACAAATTCCTTGAAAGAAAAAAGTAGAAAAACCAAGGCTGAAAGGAACTGATGGAGATTCCATCCTATGCTTCCAAATTTACACACAAATTTAATCGACAAAATGTCAACCTTATCTTATGCTTACAGAGGTGATGATAAAGGATTCTGACGTTGTATTCTCACCGGTTTACAAATGTTTACAAAGAGAAGACTGTCTCCTTTGTGTACAGTAGGACACAAACGTCTTTAAACGTCTTCTCAAATGGCCCTGCATGGATTACAAACTAGTATCTTAACATTACAATAACTTTAAACACAATAATGTTATTGTACGTCTTACAGTTGATATTAAAGATCCATGCATAAGCAGTAAGATTTTCTACCTAGAAATACATAACTGTTGGAAAATTTTATAGAATAGCTTTGTTACTTCTTATTATATTTTGTTGTAATAAAAATACCGGTAATTGATTCTTTCTAATGCGCTTGTAAAAAAGTTATTTTTTGTTGACTTGAATTCTAACAAAGAAATAATATATATAAATATTAAAACTATATATTTTTTAATTTGTTTTTGAACTTTGGCTAACATTGGAACAATCTTGTGCAAAGCAGAATGTATGTTAATGTATGTTATCTCATACTGTATATAGTGAAAGTGGTCTAGTCATGGTTTCAGTGGACACCTTGGGTATTTCTATGGAAACATACACACATTTAACTATGAATTTCACAGGAAGCCAATAAAAAAAAACTAAAATAAGTGCATAATCTTATTAGGTTTTCCACTGAATTCTTTAAAGGTTATTGTTGGGATATTGTGAGGTACTGCTACAGTTAATTCAAAATAATGCAAAACAATTATGAGCACAGGAAAAACTGGTAATTTGGTAATACACATTTTACTAAAGAAACACAGCTTTTGATATTACAAACGCAAACAGCAAAGAACACAATTGGATTGAAAGTATTATTTAATTATGTGTTAGACCAAATCTCATTACTATCAATGAGCAAACATAACAAATCCAAAGGTGACTAACATTTTTTCATTCCAGTAAGTAACACTTTAACATTAACAGAACCAGAAAGCATTACCCCAGAAATAGTAGACTTCAACTGTAAAATATTTTGCTATCCATACAAACTTTACAAAACTCCACAAAAAAGAGCATGTCACCCCACTGGACTGTTTTCAGAAGACTGAAACTCAAACCAGAGGATACAACTGGAAGAGCTTTTAAAACTTAGAACAAGAGGCACTTGTTTACACAAAGAGTTGTGGGAGCTTGATACAAGCTGAAATCAATATCCTGGCTTCTCTCTTTGGAGTAATTAGCTACTAAGAAGCAAATTGCCTCTGCCTATTTGTAACCCTTTTCACATTCTTAAGTCTTAACATGGGAGGTTTTTACTAATATCTTCTTGAGCAACCCATAATATGAGAAAACCACAATGTGTCTCAGAGTGAAATAGGTCTTTTACTGGTTCTGTTTTACAGATGATCAGACTAATGGATAACAGCACTGGAAAGAACAATTCCTTGAACTTCGACACTTCATCCTACATTCTGGTCACCATCTATAGCATCACCCTGTTGGGGGGCATAATTGGCATCTTTTTCATGACCATATTCCTGAAGAACAGCCAGAACAAACTTTCAATCACTACTATCTCCATCATCAATCTCGTCCTAGTGCACGGTAGCTTTCTGTTCTCTGTTCCCTTAATCATGGAGTATTATGCCACTGGCAGTTGGAAGCATCCCTTCATTCTCTGCAAGCTGGTGAGCATCTCCCTACACACCCACTTGTACTTGTCCTTCTTTTTTTACGTGGCCATCCTGGTGGTGCGCTTTCTTTTATTCTTTGGGAGAAAGCCGAGAGACTTCTACAGACCACTGTATGCTTTCATCGCCAGTGCAGTGGTGTGGATAGTCATCTTTGTCAGCCTGTTCCCACCCCTGCTGGTGGAGTACGGAAAACATCAAAACTACAACAAAACCAAATGTTTCCAATTTCAGGCTGAATTTAAGAGAGGATTCGTCATTGTATTCAACATGGTGATTGTGGCTGCCTTCATCTTAGTCTCCTTGCTATTGGTCTTGGTCCAGATATTCATTCTCACAAAAGTGATCATATCAAACAAGACTAATTTGCGGTCGCGTCAAGAGTTCAGGGCTCAGCTGAAAAACCTCAGCTTCATTATGATCTTGATCATTTGTTTTCTGCCTTACCATATTTTCAGAATTCATTACGTAAATAAGATCGCCGTCAACCCTACTGATACGGGGCTTAGCCAGAAGAATGACATTTATTTGTCCATCACGACTCTGTGCTGTTTAGACCTGTTAACATTGTTAGCCAGAGGCTATTAAGTATGCTTAATAGCCTCTGGCTAATTAAGCATACTTAATAGCCTCAGCATACTTAATGTATGCTGCAAGATTGTGGTTTTCTCTTTTGTATTTCCAGTCTAAAATGTAACAAAAAAGCCAAAAATGCAAATGTGAGATGGTTGTGAATATTTCTTCTGCACAGATAGATGTTTCATTTAACCTTTTGTGGGCAAAAAAAAAGAAAAATCAAAAGGAATGTTAACCAACTTTTGGTATTTTTATATTTGTGTCTTTTACTAATCAATAATGATATTCAAAATACTAAGGATGAATCGCATTTGTCAGTGATCCCACTCACCATAGACATTGTTTTGAATCTTGTCTGCCAGGGGAAAGATTGTCAGACAGCTCAAGAAAAACATATCTCCCTCAGCTATGTCTTTTCTGCTTAAGGTTAAACTACATGTAAAAAGAGTTCCAGATCTTGACATCTATTATAAGTTCAAAGCAGAAAGATACAACCTGTAAGGAGGATAATAATAATAATAATAATAATAATAATAATTGATTACACTTATATAGCGCTTTTCTGGACACTCCACTCAAAGCGCTTTACAGGAAATGGGGACTCCCCTCCACCACCAGCCATAGTGCGCCAGAACGCTCACCACACATCAGCTATCAGTGGGGATGCAGAGGTTTTCCCATCTATAGTTGATCAATTCAAGAAAATTGCTGTCATTACTGTGAAAAAGTCTTAAGACTTGTTAAGGTAATCTTGTGTACCAAAATATGTTTGCCACAGCAGAGGATCTGAATACTTAAGTCATTGTCATGATCAATTTTTATTTCATATCGATCAAATATTTACTTATGTTTGTTTTTTGCTTTCAATATGTGAAGCATGTTGTGTACTGTATATATGACATCAATTTCTACTTCAAAGTGTCCTGACTGCAGTCTTTAAAGTATCTAAATGTGAAAATGTGTAAGGGCCTGAAAACTTTTGCATAGCACTGTACATCTTGCAATATGTATTTCTTCTCATTTGAGGCGACAGTTAAGTACACAAACTATGTCCCAGATTACATTTCCAAGTAGTAGTTTCCTTGGGATAGATGCATGAGAATCTTGGCAAACAGAAACATGCCATCATGTATTTATAAATTAGCAAGACGTTTAAGTGTTGCGTTTCAAGATTCAATGTGTAGCTGTGGCTAGAAGTTTAGATTTCTTAAATGAAGGGTAATTCAGATCCTGGGTGGGACACTGTTGTTGTACTTGTGGGTAAGGTGCTTCAGTACAATGTTATGTTGTACAAATGGGTACAAACTTACAACTCTTTGGACAAAAGCTTCAGAACAATAAAAGTAATTGCCTTTTAATATAAAGGACTGGGCTCAAGTATTGAAAAATGTCACTTTTGTGGAAAATACTGTTCTAGGTTACAGCAAACACTGACAATGATATAAAATGGATTTCTGCATATGTACAGGATGTCGAGAACTATAAATTGATGGAAAAATTTAGCAAAAATCATTGTAATCTATTCACTACACATTATACCACACTATTTTATTTTGTGGATAAATGTCTATCTACTGTATGCATCTAATTTTTCTTTCTGTATATTGTATGCATCTATGCTCAGTGTAACATGGCATATAACAAGAGATCCTTCAGATGTGTATTAATTCCTCAATAAATGTGAAAAGCTAAACAAAACAGAAACTAAACAAAATTATTCCTAATACTGGACCAAAGTGCTTAAGCAAATGAACACGAATGAGCATGGCCAACATACTACAGTAGATAAGACACAATTACATTCCTTCTTCTTTAGCAGACACAGAAGTAAGCTGTTAACCTATACCTGCTACAGAAAGAAAGTCAAAATACTCAATCATCCATTCATGTCTAATTGCTTTTTCCAATTACAGGGTCTTAACATTTGCTAAATAAGTAAAACAAAATGCTTTGGTACAGTACATGCAACACAATGGTAGCCCACCTGATCTACAGTACATTAACTATAAATTACCCTAGATCAGGAAAGGGTAACTTCAACCTTTAATAATCAAAGTATTTAGTATTATGGTTTTTAGGTATATTTACCAAATAAGATGTAAAAACAAGAAACTTAACCTTTAATTAAAAAAATTAGTTCACTTTATTAATATCAGACATTAAATGGAAATTCAAAAACCTTGCAGTCCTCAAATATTGGAGTTATCCCTAACACAAGATATCTAGTAAGGAATTAATGCCAGACTTAATAGAGTGAAAATGATAGTAAGTTGCACTCAATAGATATCCATCAGTGTTAATAAGATATTATGCTCAATAGACATTCACAAAATGTTCTCTCCCATTTATTTGTATTACTGTATGTCATGCTGTGTAGTCTACAGCAACTATTAGGAAAATTAACAGCTCAAGCTCTTTTAACTATGGCTATTTGTACTTCTAGAAAGTTTTAAATCATTGTTTGCTATATTTATTTTTTTGCATAAAGAAATACAAATTCCCCTTAAGAGCAAGTCAGACATTTTACATGAAATTCCTTTACTCCCTTCTTTGATAGGGAAAACAGCAGCATTCTTTTCTTTTGTTATGTTTTTAACATACATAAGTAATATTACTGAACGTGGGTATACATTTGCAATATTGTGTATTAAACAGAAATGATGAACAGTATATACTATATATTATATAAAAAACTGTTATAGCTCTTCAATTTTAAAAACGGTGTACAGTGAGTTTCAAAATTTAAATTAAGTAATGTTTTTAATATATTGCTACAAAAAGAAATGATCTTAAATTCCTATAAATATAGCCATCCTTATTCTAAACATTTTGTCATTACTCTATTAGTGGTGGTGGTGCCAATTGAAGCTTAAAGTCTGGCTGCTCAAAGATTCCAGATTGTCTAAAGATGTCAGCCTCTGGCTTAAAAGAATCCAGGCTGGCCGAGGTATGCCTTGTGAGCTCCATCAAGACGGAAATCTGTTTAATAAAAAGGGAAATGCATTTTAGAGAAGATCATGATGCAAATAAACTGGCCTGAAAAGGTCTGAAATCTTTAAAACTGCCCATGACAGAAAACAAACAACACAAAACTGTTTTTGACAACACAATGTGCAACATCTGCACTGTAAGACAGGAGAGGCAACTGTTTTGCAGTAACTGGAAATTTACAGAACGTGTGGTCATGCATTCTCCAGAACACGGCGACCACATGCGGTCAGGCTTGTTTCTTTCTTTTTTTTTTTAAACTGGAAGATAAGTGCTGGTGCCGCTGAAGTTCCCCATCTGTGTCCCTTTGGCTTTTATCAGGTATTAAGCCCATCTCTTCCTGCAGTAAGAAGGATTCTTACCTCACCTTCTCCCACTGAGCCAGTGGGCTCTCCCTTTCACTCTTTTGTCATGTCAAACAACCAGAAAATAAAAATCCAGCCTTTCAATCCAAGACTGACACCATCACTATTCTTGGAGATTCTTCTTAAATATTTAAACACATCAATTTATCAGTGCTAACCTCTCACACTGGCAAATGGTTTAAATACTTCTGTGTGTGAGATGACATTTATGTAGGGAGTTTTGCAGATACTCCATATGTTCTATGTAAGATACCGTACACAATTTGGAATATACCCCCATTAACTGCCCTCCGAGACATGAGTAAGAGTTCCATTTCGTTTTTACTTTATTGAAGCCCTCACTTCATTTACAGCAAAACCATTAAAAAGTACATTTGGGCTGTGGTGCAGAATGTAGTCAAATTATTTATAAATTCAGTTTCCTCTATTTTTTTATATTTTAATACTTCAAACTGAGAAGCCTGCTGCCAAAGCAAGAGATATGTACAAGAAACCTGAGTCAATGTGATGAAAACTTGCGGAACAAAAAATACCACAGTCTAAAGATGGATCTGACTGTGGTCCAGGGAACTTTCAACACCCAAGATATGTTTTTATATCTCTGAACAGGTCTATGTCTGCTCACAATTCTATCACAGAATTGTACAGACAGCTCCTTGGTCTTCACGGCAAAGTTTCTGCTCTGACACGCACTGTCAACTGAGAGACATTATACAGATGGGTGTATTAATTCTGAAATGATGTCAACCAACAGAACTGGCCACAGTTGGGCTCCATTCAAGTTTCAGAATGATCCCACAGAGAAATGAGATGTGCCTGGGCTCAGTTTGGAGTGTCATAGCAAAGGGAGAAAATAATTAAATCTTGAAGTGAGAATAACAGTTCAGCATTTTTTCATTGCATTAAAAAAGTTCCAGAACATTTGGCATTATAGATTCATATTTTGAGCTGTGACAAGAAAAAAAAACAAGAATGTATTTTTAATAGAGTCTGCAAATCATAATTTGTGAAAAAAATTGAGGGGGGTGAATACTTTCTAAAGGCACTGCGTTCACTTCCTTGTATTCACCTCCTTTCAGAGTTACAATGTGATCAGAGCTTTATGTGGATCTTTGTGATATATAAAAGGAGCCCGAGTGAAATAATAACATAAACGTTTGTTGGGGCTCTGTGTCCAGTTCAGTGGTAGGTGAAATGAAATTCTTATGTGGAATGAAAAGTCCCATATACTATACATGTACTATTATTAAGCTTTTACAAATGAGACCCTATATGGCACCAGCAAAGCAGTCAAACCAATGACTTAGGCATCTAAAGAAATGAAAAGATTACCAGTGACTGTAAAATATATCACCCCATCTGGCTGTATCACGACCAAACTGTTACCAGTGTCACACACTGGTGTACTTGAAACTAAGGTCAATGAATACTGCTCTTCATACTTAGCCTTTGTAATCACCACTTCTGAATCCTAACATGGACATTACACAAATTAATTTAATTATTTAATTAATAATCATTAATAAACAGAATAGGGAAAGAACAAAACATACCCTTGAAGGATTCTTAAATGTTCTTTTAAAACAGTCAGCTGCTTCGATTTGTCCTGGATCCATTTTAAAGCACTGAGAAGTAAAACCACAAAATTATGTCCGTATGTATTTTCATGGCACTTCACTCTGATAACCAAGAATACTTTCACATGGTCAGTCACAAATACATTTGACAAGGCTGATAGGGTTTTCATTATTGTAAAGAGAAGTAACACCGAAACATGAAGATGATAAGCCTCTAACTTATTTTAAACAAAGCCAGGGATCTCAGCTTTTTGATGCAAGTATTTTTAAATACAAAGTAATGCTAGTGTCAACACGTAGGCTAGCTGGGTTTAGGGTGGTTAAAAAAAAAGAATAGTTCCAAACTTGTTCACTACAACTTGTGCTGAAATGAAATGCCATTTTTTTATTTCAGAAAAAAAAGCAGCTTTGATTGTACAATTGGTCTAACGGTAGTCTAACGTTTCTATTCAAGGTTGCTCATGTGGGTTCAGACAACAGCAAGTTTCCATTTCTGGACCACTGACCAGCTTTACTCAAAATTCTATTATGGAGAGACTATAGATACTGTACCTCAGCAGCCAAAATCACCTGAAGCAATAAGAGACCTGTAATGATTCCATCTTTAACCTCTGCCATTGGCAATATTTATTACTGTATATCCTACAACTGTAGAACAAAATGGTACACCACTCAATTTCTAGAATACAAAACTAAGCACAAAATCACTATCAATTCACATATAAGTGTTCTCTGATCTACGTCAAAGCCAGCCTTCTAATCAAGCTGCCTGTCCCCAAAATCTTTAAGAGGATATTGTATCTAATACTAATGTATCTCTGTGGTCCCTTTACTTACAAACAATATTGACACAGATGTTAAGAAAGAAGCCATAGTGACACCCACACAACACTTACTCAAAAGAAGCCAGAGGTTGTTGAAACGGTCAGAATCTAGTATGACTACACTTAATGATCTCATTGGTGTTGAAATCTTGTTTTGTTATTCACAAAAAATAGCACAATTAAAAACATTTATGTCTGAATGCACTGTCAGAATTAAGAAGCAGATGACAAGAGAAAATAAATTTAACAGATAAGGATTTAGTGTCCTTGGCTTGGAACTAGTACATACAGAAATAATAAAGACTGCCTATTTAGTAATTTTATGGGCATACTGCATATACATCGATTTCACAATTACATGAAACCCAAATAGGGTTTATCAAATTATGCGCAAAAGAAAACTCTCCTAGCAGAATTTTAAAACTGCAATGAAACTAAACTGTTTTTAGCCAGCAGCTATATCACCCTGCAACTCACAACAAGCAACCCACTGAAGCTCAGCAGGTGTGAGCCTGGTCAGTACCTGGATGGGAGACCTCCTGGGGAAAACTGAGGTTGCTGCTGGAAGAGGTATTAGAGGGGCCAATGGGGGGGCACTCACCCTGCAGTCTGTGTGGGTCATAATGCCCCAGTAAAGTAAGCCTTTAACGATCGTGGCCTCTTAATAATCCCCATCTATGAACTGGCTTCATCACCCTGTTCTCCTCCCCACTGATAGCTGATGTGTGGAAAGTGTTCTGGCGCACTATGGCTGCCATCACATCATCTAGGTGGATGCTGCACATTGGTGGTGGAGGGGAGTCCCCATTACTTGTAAAGCGCTTTGAGTGGAGTGTCCAGAAAAGAGCTACTGTATACAAGTGTAAACAATTATTATCAATGCTTGCAGAAGTCTGTACCTGGGAGCCTTGGTTCACACTCCCAGGTGTGATGGAAGTCCACCTCTTGTTAGGAGACAGGCACTTGAAGCAGGCCCACTGCTCTGTCCATCCCTCCTGTTCCCGCAGACTGCTCTGCAGACACGCTGAGTGATACACATGCCCACAACTGTACAGACACACACACAGACAAGGGCTGTTACAAGTGTAAACAGATTTTTGACAATCCTTCTATTCTCATAACATTCTCTAGGTGTTCTTTTGGGCTATTGGGCTCTTTCCACAGCACTAAAATTTTCTAAATTTTAGTTTTTGTGTATGGAGACTGCTCTGAGGCTAATCACATAGAACATTCCAGGGTGATGCTTCTGTTCACTTCTCTTCATGTGCAAAGGAATACCTGTTTGTGACAAGAACCAAGTTTTGCTCTGAAATGCAGGGAGGTGAAAGACGGGAGACCTGAATGGGCATTTGTTCAAAATTCTGTTGGACTGAAATTAAAAGAATTCTATTCCAAATGTATTATTACACAAAAGTATATAAATGGTATATACTATAAATGTTAACTCTGTTAACCCAGTTATGCCTTCACTACAGTGACCAATGCAGTTTGGGTTGGGGCTCATGAGATATAGATTCGCAAGTGTATGCCCACATTTACTTCCTTACTTCGCAGACCACAAATACTGTAGGCAACACTGGTCCATTAATGTAGAATCACTAAAGCTTTCACTTGAATAGGTGAAATAGCAAATGTAGAACTAGTGAAAGTCGAAGTTTGTACATAAATTAGTTTCATATTGAACAGAAAAAGTTCATTTTCTGCCACAATTGTAGCTTCAACACAGTGACACAAAGTTGAGCATTGCTGCCTCATAGGCCTGGGGCCCTGGGTTCAATTCCCTGGGGTTCTATCTGCATGGAGTTTGCACGTTCTACCCGTGTTTACAAATGCTTTTCCTCTGGGTGCTCTAGTTTCCCACCCAAAGTCCAAAGACTTAGGTTAATTGGCGTCTGGAAAAAAATGCCAGGTGTGAGTGTGCACACACTGGCATCTGCTTTGCACCCAGTGCTTCCTGCGATAGGCTCCTTGCTATGGTAAGCCCTGAACTGGATAAGCAGTTATTGAAAGTGATGTGATGTGAAGTAACATATCTGGTCAGACCCAGAGTTTAATACTACTGTACTAGGCACATCTCTGTGCATCTGATCTGCTCCAGAAACCTCAAAACAAAAGACTTTTGTTTTTGCATATGATGTTTGAATACTCCTAGGAAATCCAGGGACTGAGATTACCATAATAATCATGGAGTTTGACCTGGATTAATAGGTATCAAGCAAATTGATCCAGGTCAATGTGATATATGTATTCTGACAATGGACTTAAACTACCAGCACAGACACATGTCTGTGGACCTGTGGGAAAAAACATATCCTGATATGGGCATCTTCAGAGATCTTGAGAGATCAAGAGAGTAATATCACATTTGGTAAAAGAAGACCTATTTCACAAAAAATGTTCTGAATTGAAACGTTGAGACATTTGGTGTAAAATACCCTCCACTATTTGAATGTCTGCTGAATCACAGTACATGATACACCAGGTGTGAAATAGGATGCTTCAGATCTGCTTATGAGGGCCTTTTTATTTAAGAAGGGTTAATGAATCACCTGAAAACAAGCACCCCGGACCCAGCTGCTCCATGACTGTAGGGCTGTGAACACACTGCGCACTTCTTGTGTGCGGGAGTCAGGCCGCGGCTAACTGTGATCTTCAGGCTACATAGTGACGAATGGAGATCTTGGCTCAGGAGGCTTCTGGTTGTCTCCAACAGGGTCTGTGAAGGCGCATTAAGAAACACAATTTAATCAGAACGAGGCTCATGCAGAAAAGTAAACAGCAAGTAAAAAACACTTTCCTTGTGTAGCATTACATTCCGATTTCTCTTTTTTTGCAATTGTTGTTCTTGTTTTAGTTTAAGTCCTCTGACCTAAAAGTCACCTTTCTGTAAGCTTCCCATACTGTGATAAAGTTTAAAATCTTAAGAAGGATAGTTCAAGAATTTAATTTATACGTCTCATTCTATTTGAAGTGTATTGATTTAAATCTTCCCATAGAGGCATTTATCAATCTAAATAAGTGACCTTTTTCACTAAAGAATTACATATTTTCATGGACGAGAGAACAATCTTTTTACATGTCATGTTATCAAAAAGTAATCCATTTAGAGGGAAGATAAAAGACAACTCAGAATCTGCACATTTACAAAACTAGGTTTGTAAAAATAAAACTATTAATTACAAAATAGTTATAGATAGATACCTAAAATTATCTATTGTATCAATTGATATCAGGGGCAAATGGTGATTTATAATAAAGTAATAGAAGTTTAAAATACTTTGTAAGCAATATTAAATATTTCCAATCTGATTACAAAACTAAAATTGTAAACTTAACTTCAAACTAACCTTGAATAGCAGGCAAATGCTGCTTAGGAAAAGCAGTTATTTTTTTCAGAAAGCAAAAAAACCCCAAAGTAACATACTTGGTAAAATAATCTTGAAAATAAAATGGAATCTTTGTAAAAAGATAGTACAAAAATATAACCTAATTCATTGCAGTGTGGCTCTGTGCTCAAGAGAAAAAAATGTATTTACTTTCTCATAAGTGTAAGCATCAAACATCTTAAAGATTAGGGTCCTTATTTCTCCATAATTATTAAAGGTGTGAACTGTATCCTGCAAAACAAGATAAAAGAAGATGCAGATAAAAGAGATGCCAATACCAAGTTTACCATGGTGATAAAAATGGAACTAAACTGTTATAGATTGCATTAAATCCCTCATGTACACAAAAAAACAAGTTTTTGAATTTTTGTGAATGAAATAATAGTTGAAACTAACTACTTTAGTTTTAATAAGTAAAAGAAGTGCTATAGTCTTTATAAATCTTCAAAATTGATAAATTAATTATACAAAGATGATAAGGACAGAAAGCCAATCAAACCCAATATTGTAAACCTTAAGCTTAAACTAGGACCAGAGCCTCAAATTTCTCTTGCTGGCTAGGATGCTAACCCACACAAAAACTAGCAAGATGGAAACCTACAGTGCAGGCTGACTCCATGATTGGTATCAACCTATTGATAACAAAAAAAACTTTTCACCAAGAAAGAACAGCAAGAAAATAAACAACAATTAACACATACAAAACACAGGAGCTCACTAATGAAGAAAGGAAAGGAGAGGGGAAAGGTAACTGAGCAGGTTTTGAAGATTTCAAACTTCTTGCATTAGCAAAACACAACCACACCTTCTGGAGGAACAAAGTCAGTGCGTGAATTCAACCATATGCTTATCTAAGAGTATCTCAGCCTGTAATTAGACCGGCCAGCAAAAGACTGTGTTCCACTTTATCCGAACATTAAAATAAGAGATCAAATTTGAAAAATAATTCAATCAGAAAGGAATGTGAAGGAAAAGTCTCTCTCATCACAGAAAGTTAAAGAGCCAAAAAAGCCAAAGAAATCCAGTACCTGCATAAGCTTTTGTAGAATATCCATAAGAGGAATGTATGAAGTCATTGCTTCCAAAACTTCTTTAGTCAGATCTTTGATACCTACAGTTGAAAAAAAAAACATTATTGCAATTCACACAAAGGGTGATAATGAATGGGTTTCCAAATAATGTACATCCATAAAATATATACTGTACACAAACTCTTAAAAAGCACCATTTAGAATAGCCATATTCTAAGAAATGCAGATGAATATTTCTTATGAACTTATTTCAACTTAAAAAAATAAGAACAGGTTAATATTTCTAACAAACCTTAATATAAAACATCAGTAAAAGAAAATTTCAGTGACAGCCTTGTGATTAAAAACTTGGAATCATTACTGCACTCAACCAAAGTTCTAGATTCTTCAGTCTACAAAATGCTGCATGAATTTCATGAGTGAGACTTGATGGTAAATAGCTTAGCCAATTGCACTGGCTGAGGACAGCTGCTTGCTAATTTGGAAGTCTTCCATGGGATTTTGAATCAAGTTAGGAATTGTATCTTCCATATGGAATTGCTCAGTGACTATAAGGCATTTTTTCTTTGGTACTGTTGAACACAATAAATAAATGGCTGCTTCTCTATCACCCTTTTAAAACAAGATTCTACGTAAAAAAAGCCCATCCCACAAAGGGTTGTAAAAGCAACCAGTCACACAGGAAATGCAAATTCATGACACTTCTACTTATGCAGAACTACTTTTTTTAGATGAGGCAAACAGAAGGTTCTAAAATATCACTTCTAAATTAATCCATCCTCTAGTCATCAAACCATTTGTCAAAGCAAATTCAAAGACTTTGACTCTGCTCTCACCTCTAACAAATGCAAGTGGAGGTTTCGACATCAAGTGCAGTGTTGGTGACATCGTAAAGTCTAAAATGGGAAACCATAACTCCTGCCATTAAAAAAAAACAACAATTTCAGAAAAAGACCGTTCTGAAAGTTTTGCAGAGAAGCTAACACCATTTGACAGTAATGAGAACCTGAGCTCAGAGCTCTCTTCTCTCTACTATTTTTGTGTTTGTATTTGACCTATTGTTTGATTTTTACCGATTTTCCCTCCTGACTTATTTCAAATCATGGGGACCTGGATAAGATAAGGACTCCTCTCCTGCTTCTTCTTTAAGAAGAAACTGAGAAGACTTTATTTTTCCTAAACTGGCTAAAGAGGTCACTGTGCTCCTGGAGCCAATGGATCACCAAACTGCTGGTAAAAACTGAAATCGAGCCAGTGACCAGTTTGCAGCAATTATTGTGTACACACTCAGATGACAACTAATTCAACAGCTGGTTTCTATCCTGTAATTTGTCTTGGATTAACAATACACTCAAAAATAATATTGAATACTTGTGAAGCAAAATTGGGAATTGGGAGCAAAATGTAGCTGAGCTGGAAGATCAAGACAAAACAACTCTTCAGGATCTGAGTGGAATGATCCAGTTGGGAATCCTGAACAATGAAATCCCAACATGGTTTCCAGAGCTGGTACAGAGACACTTAGTTGTGGAGTGGAACCACAGAACATGGAGATTATAGATCTGAAGAGCATGACAGGGCCTCATTTTCAATTTTTTCCAACTTTTGAAAGAAAGCAGGCAGTCTAGTCCTCTGCATTGGTAGGATGGATTAATGTTGTGCTTCTACCACATTACCCAAAGTCCAGAGGCGATGTGCTTTTGCGATAGAGAGGAAATCACTGAAGCTGGATGGATGCTAATTTTTGAATATATACAATAATTTATTAGTCATGTGATGTAAGAACTATTTTGATGCTTGTTGACTGGATTGTTTGGGAGAACATCAGTGATATAGGTTCAGATCATAACTGCGTCAATCTCACAGATTTGACAAATGGGGGTTCTGCACCTCCCATGGGGTTTTCTCTTTTACAAGGGGAGATTCTTATTGCCGAGCACTGGGATGGGTACTCTATAAAAGAGAAAGATTAAAAACTTCTATAGGACACACCTATAGTCTATACAGACGATATATTTTATTCTTTGCTTTTGTGAAACAACTGCTACAATTCTTAAAAGACCTTTATTCCTTATTGATATCAGATTTTGTTACTGCTAGACATGGCTATTGTTTGTATTTGTCCTGAATGGTTGAGGGGTAAATTATCCCCACCAAATTGGGATCCATGGTGTTATTGGCAGGGGACTGCACAGACTTGGAATGCTGCAATGGGCTTTCTCTTTAGCTAAATGTCTGTATTTTAGGGGTCCTTAGTTTGAAAGGCAAGAGGTGTCACTGATGGGCTCTCAGTGCTGTATGGACAAGGTAGCACAAAACTTTATCAGCCATAATCCTTTATGTTTCTCAATCCTTAGGTATCTCCGCTTCATATTGTTTTCAGAGCTCACGGTGACAGAGAGCCCTTGCTGTTTCCAGTAACTATACTTAACTATGACCTGCAGTACTGCTTTTCTAACTAAAATAAAAAAAAATTAAAGAAAGTCACCATCAATATTAAAAGCCCTTAGAGCTCCGAAATTATGATTGAAATTGATCTTTCAACTGAAACAAATGCAGTTGACCAATATTATTACCTCACGTACTGCAATACATTTTAAATTGTACTTCCCTTGGAAAAAACATTTTCGCTTACGTCACTGCCATTTTGCAAACTCTGTCCTGGTCCAGAGAGGTATTAATGCAAAGCAGGATACAGCCTTTTGCACAGGTGAATAGCTCAGCTATACAATGACTTTCTGGATAATATTCCAGCTTCCACATGTAGGTGAGCACAGCTCAGTAGCAGTCAAAGAATACAATATCTTACCATGAAGAATTCAAAGGCTTCTTCCAGAAGCAAAACTGTTTTTCTTTGGGGACTAAGAATCATGGGCAGCAGTGGTTAGCATTGTTGCCTTGTAGTGCTAAGGTCCTACGTTCAATTCCTGAGATGCTATCTGTGTGGAGTTTGTATGTTCTACCCACATCTGCTCTGGTTTCTTCTCATAATCCAAAGACATACTGGTAGGCTAATTGGCTTCTGAGAAAATTGACCCTGGTGTGACTGTTTGTATCTGTATCTGCCCTGCGATGGACTGGCATCCTGTCCAATGTGTATCTTGCCATTCTCCCATTGCAGATCTTACCAAGTTAAGTGACTCCACTTGCAACCCTGTACTGGTTAAGTTGAATAGGAAATGGACGGATGGACAAAGAATCCTGCTTGTATTTAGAACTATGTCATTTAGTACAGATGATCACAAGTTAACATTAACAATTAATTTAATTGACACTAAATCAGGAACAGATAAATCATTCCTGAAGTTGAATCTACTGAACTATATGCCATCACTCATGCAGATATAGATATAAATAGCTTAATCAATTATATTAACAAGCAGAATCCATGTAACAAGTGAGGAGAAATTTACAGTACCCTTATATTAAAGGAATTACCATCCATACTAGAAATGAAAAGCAGCAAAGCAGTGTGACTGAGCATATTGTTCAAATAGAGTTTGGAATACTTTAGTAAGTTTAACCTTTCTTATTTCCTTGAATGTCTCATCTCCCATTATCTATTGCAATTACTGAATGTAACAAATTCAACAATATATAACATACATACAAACCACATCAACAACACAGCATTCCTCACCTTTCTCTGTTTGATATCCAGAGTAACAGATGCCCGCTGACAGAAAGCAATAAGGTTCTGCACTAATGTGTGAGCTGTGGACAGCAATCCAGACTCTTCACTGTGGCTCTCTGAAAATGAGAGATCACAAAGTGATTGACTTGAAGATTAAAATATGCCTTCCTTAATTTAATGGGCAAATCAACCTCCCCCAAACAATGCGAAAAATGTACTGTATTTAAAGCCATCAAAAGCATAGACAAAGAAAACTGGATAAGATGGACTAAATGGCCTCCACTCTTTTGTACATTTCAATATTTTCTTACATACTTGAGCCCTCTCCTCCAGAAAAATATACAATTAGATGAATAAGCTAGTATGTTGTGCACACTGACTCATTGCTCACAATGAAGTCATCATCTGATTTAGTATGCAATAAACTATAAAAATTAATTAAATAATGTATAAACTCATCATCATTAAAGCTGCTTTAAGCTGTCCAATTTGGATCAGAACATCTCACTGACCACCTATTTATGTCTTAAGTTCAATAAGTTGCCTCTTAAAGTGTAACATTCTTTCAACTTAATGAAAAATTTACTGTACAGTAGACTGTCTGGCAATATAGAACTCACCTTATATTTAATTCAAAACTTATATGTTAAACTATATTATTTATTTTTTGGGATCAGCAATTGTTTTGAATTTTAATTCACCTAAGATATGGGCATTAACTGAATGAATTATGAATAAATAACTTCTTGTTAAAAGTTCAATGAGCTTTCTTTGCAAGATTTCCAATGGACACCAGGGAAAAGCCTTTTGTTTTATTTCAATAGACAGGTTTATGGGCAGGCATGTGACATGTGAACTAATCTTTACAGAAGGCACAGTAATATCGCTGCATGTGTTTCAATGAGTAACACAGGATATGAATCCAAGTGATTGAGCAGCTTAAAAGGCATATTTACTTTACAAGTAATAGGTTTATTCCATG